AAACGCTGGTCTATTCTAGACGATAGCGTGGAAGTTTCGTTTCAGTTCTGAACAGCCGCTCGACAAGACCGTCTGCCCTGGGTCTAGAAAGACGTTAGACAGTCTATTAAGCGCTTGGTCAGCGCCCTAAAATTTTTCCACACGGGTATCAAATAATGTTTTCTCATCTATATACCATAAAAGTAGAGGCAAAATTACAAATCAACCCACATGGCAGAATATTCTTCAGGAAGTTAGCTGCAAACTTTCCGAAAAATATGTGGGCATTAACTTTAATTTTTATAATAATTTCTATGGAATCACTAGACAAAAATTAAGATTATTATTTTCATTCTGAATTCGGGTTTTAATTTGAAAATAACGAGATTATTTCTCCGCCGAGAAAATTGTTCTTTTCAATCAAGTTATAATACTAAAAATCACTTATCTTCTTACTAGGGTTTCCAGATGACGTCTTTAAAAAAGTAGAACGTAGGGCTGCAAAAAAGCGAGAACATATGGTTTTGAAAAAGAGGATAAAGATAGCAAATTTGTCTTTTTTATTGGGGTGTAACGATACAGCTGCTATCAAAGAGAAATTTCTTTGAAACAACACTTTTTTAATTCTACCAGATTTCTCAATTTAACATTTTTATTTTGGTGAAACAAATACATTATTGCAATTTCTACGACAAAAATGTGTCTAAGTGAAAACCAAATCATTTGTAAATCATTTTGAAAAAAAATCTCTTGATGGTCTATTTGAATCTTCTGTTGTATTTATTATCAATTTTGTAAGGATATAATGTATTAAATATGTATTTTAAAAATCTCGAGAGTTCAAACCTATTATAGTGTATACTTTATTATGCACATCCCAATGGGAAATGCCAGTGTAGTGCCGATGCTCACCACTGGCTTAGTACTCAGACGATTGTTCGGCGTAGTCTAGCCGAGCCTCGACAATTAGTGCTGGCGCAGTACAGAATTTTTGTTTCGCCAAAGCTTGGACAAGCCACGGCGGCAAGTGCTGGCTGAGTATAGAAAAATTGTTCACAACGCTCTTTGCCAACATTGCTTTTTTGACATAAACTTGAAAAAAATTATAAAAAAAGTTTATGAATGTTTATAAATATAAATTTATTGAAAAAAATTAATATTTTACTTTTCAGTTGTTCATTTTTTATTCTTGTCAAATTTAATAATAACAATTTAACACAATTGTCTAATTTTGTAAATAATAAATTATTTAAACAAATTAAAATTATAAACAAAATTTAAACTTTAATCTCAATAATAATTTGGTTCCTATTAAAATACTATTATACTTCTTACTATGAATAAAAAATTATTAAAAAATTACCACGTAATTTAAGAATTACGTAAAATGTTAAATGCAATAAGTAAAGTAATTTAATTTTTAAAAATTTAGTTTAATTTATTTTATTTCAATTTATTATTTCTAACGTATCCCTATTTTTTTCTCATCTTTGACTCAATAATTGTATGTCTGAATGATACTGAGATATTAAAATTTTACTGCACACACGTGTCGTTAGCATAGTGGTTAGAGCGTTAGTCTGTTAGTCCGTAGGTCGTAGGTTCGATTCCCCTCGTCAGCAATTTTGTTTATTTTCATAGGTTTGCGATATTTCTAGATTCCAATCGTCAGGTACTAAAATATGAAAATCTAATGCACACTTACTGTAATTGTTTATTATTTAATTTTTAAATGTTATAAACAATTTTTTTCTACTTCATTTACTATATCCATATTGTTAGTCTCCATCTTTAATACAATTTCTTTAAGAAGAGAAATATTTTATGAATAATAACTATTTATTAATATTATTTACCATTTTGTTGTTAAATTATTTATAATTATTAATTTACGACTAATTAATAACAATACGGCATTTATTGCGGCAATATTCTCAGCCAGCACTGGTCCAGTGCTGCGCCAGCGCTGTCTGGCAGCACTGACAGACAGTACTTCGGCAGCGCCGGACGGCGTTATCATCCCAGAGTTATGCCAGTGCTGGCTCTCAGCCTTGCCGCCAGTGCTGCCAGTGCTGGCGCAGTACTACGCCAGTTGTAAATTTCCCATTGGGATGTTATGCATGTACTTTTTGAGCTAAGCAGTTTGAGTAATTAAATAAATTTTATGTATCGAATCCTCTGATTTCTATCAATAAAAGTATCTTATTTTTACCGAATAAAAACTGTTTCTTCACAAAACCTTTCATTGGGAGGGTGGGATACAACACTACTGCAAAAAAAAGTATTTCTTAACTTAATACATTTTGGTATAAACATTTTTTGCTTATTTGTTTACATGTTTATTTAGAATTCAATTTTACAAAATTTCTATTATTCGGAAATTCTTTACTTAAATATATATAGGATTATAAAATAAAAACTCTAAATAGTTTCTACAGAATTGTTAGTTAAAAATATAAAATTCAGATTTTCAAAGATCTTGATTATAGAAACCTTTCAATATCCAATTATTTTTAAAAATTCATAATGCTTTTTTCAATTATAATCTAAAATTTTAACTGAAACTCATTTTTAAATCAATTTTTATTAGAAAATTCTACTAGAATTCAATTATTTAAATACAAAAATAAATAATTTATTGTTCTTAAAATTGAATTCTCATAAAAAAATGTATCTGCAAATTTTTAAATAATTGAATTCTTCGACTAATTTTAATAAAATTTTTAAAAATTTTACATTTTTGAAAAATTTGATTAAAATTTTATATTAAAAATAATTGAAATCTATGAAAAGATTTATAATTTATGAAAATAATTCCTAAAAAGAATTTTTTTTTGTAAATAATTAAATCTCTGTAAAAAATTTTACTATTCATGAAAATAATGGAATTATTGCGAAGAAAATTATAAAGAATTTGTACATAATAGAATTTCTGTGAAATTTTTATTATTTACATGAAAATAATTAAATTCATTTTATTAAAATTTATATTAAATAATTGAATTCTTTTAGAAAAGTCGAGAGAAAAGTGTATTAAAATAGTAGATATTGAAATTCATTGAATTGAAGAAAATTTTGGAAAATACTTAAAATTTTGCTAATTTTTAAATGAAACCTATTCAAAATTCTTGTATTTCTAAAAATTCATAATACTTTTAATATTTATTTATTATTTGAAGTTTTACTCTAAATTAATTTTTAAATAAATTTTAATTAGAAAATTCTACAAGAATTATAAATTCAATTATTTAAATTCAAAAATTAATAATTTATTAATTGAATGTTTCTGAAAATTGAATGCTAGTTAAGAATTATATGAAATAAATTTTAAAATAATTAAATGCTTTTCACGAATTTTAATATAATTTTTAAGATTATATTTTTAAAAGAAATTCGATTAAAATTTTATTTAAGTTTGAAAGTTTACAATTAGTTTTATTGTTTGTGAAATTAATTGAATCCCTGTAAAAATTTTATTATTTATGAAAATAATTGAATATTATTGATAAGAAATTTATAAAGAATTTCAGATAATTGAATTCCTGCGTGAAATTTTTATTATTTAAGAAAAATAAAAATAATTTAATGGTTTGCGTCTAGAATTTTATTAAATTTATTTTAAATAATTGAATTTCTGTAGTCATTTGTAACTTCTGCAAAATTCAATTTTTTTTATTAAATTAAAATTTTTAAGAATAATTATATTTTTCAAGGAATTCGAATAAAATTGAATTAAAAATAATTTTGAAATTCTGCGATGATTTTTTATTAATTATGAAAATAATTAAATTTTTAAAGAAAATTATACCAAGAAAGGTATCTTAAGAAGCAAAAAATTTTAGGTTATGTGTATAATTTTTGGAGTAAAAATATAGAATGAAAATCAATTACACTATTAAAAATTATTGAAGTTCAAGTCTTCATCACATCTAAAATATTCAATAAAAACTGGTTTTAAATTCAAATAATTAAAAAGAAACTTTTAATGAAAATAAATCTAAGACAAACATAACCTATAATTCATTTACTTTTTAGGAACCTTCCTTGGTAGCGCGTCACGTATTAAAAAATTTAACAAATTTTGCAGAAGAATTTGAATTATTTAATTTTAATAAAATAATAAATATATGAGAAATAAGAAAAATTACTTCATTAATCCAGAAAAATAATATAATTCTTATTTTTGGGGGTATAAGTCATTTTTGCAACGTTATATTTAGGGGGGGGGTTGGTAATTTGCAACCAAATGCAACGAAGGGGGGGTGGGGGTCAAAAAACCCGAAAATCAGTGTCACGTTATTTATGGATGATCCCTATAAAGTAGAATTTTTTGTAAATTTTATAATATGTTTAATAGAACTAAAATTAGTGACAATATTAATAGATTTAAAAAAAATTTTTTTGTAGCTATTAAAACTCTTCCCCCTTTTTGCCCCACACTCGTAGTAATAATACATCTGTCAGGACGAAAAAAATACCAAAGTTCATTAGAGTCAATACCTGGATGAAGCCATGTTTCAGAAAAAATAAAAATGTTAAATGGTACAAGGGAAATGTTTTGTGAATTTTTGTCCGGAGACATCTAAAAATATTTGTTTCGTTTTAGTTAAATAAAATGATTTTAGTTAAATTATCAGGTGTACAATCACGACAATCAGCTCGTTAAAAAAATTCAGGCACTAAAAAGTGGGGGTAGAGAAAATGGCAATTTTATACTTGAATGAAAATGGCAAATTTGACGAGATTAAGATGTTTTGACGAGAGGTGATAAAAGAGGTTAGAATGTGCGGCTATTGTGTGTTTAGAAAAGACAGACACGTGGCCGTCTCGGAAAATGCCGGGCGAGAGCGATACGAGAGTGAAAAATATTGAGAAAGAGTTGAGAGGAGGCTCTCTCACAGTGGGGCGCTATTCGCGAAAAGCGTCTTGATTGGCAAGAATACGGTCCTGTCTAAGGCGGGGCTCGCATATATTGAGAACCGCGAAGAGAGGCGAGCGGTTGAATCGGATTGGATTGGGTTGGGGCGCAACTCGCAAGCAAGCGAGCAAACTGGTTTGGTTTTGTAGGGCTTGCACCACTGCACCGCTCTTTCGGCGAGACAGTCCAATTTATGCATTACGGCTATGTAGGCACTATACGCTATCAAAACCCTGTGCCCGGACTTTTACAACCATTCGGCATCATCATTGCAATAGTTTCATTTATCAAGTGCCTACAGACTCGAAATTCACTATAAAACAAAAAAATCGGTAACAAAAAAACGAATCCGCGGGAAAATTTGTTAATTCTTTTCAATTTGTTCAAGTTTGTTTTTTTCCGTTCTCTCGAAATTAAAAATTCTTTTCCACCAAACGAGGAATCATCGATGCAATTCACTGGATTCACTCGATTCACTGGATTCACTGGAAGATAAGAAAACTGAAGGAATATACGTAGCAAAGGAAGTATCATCTATGATCCGCGTGTGTTTTTTCGAATACGCGTCTACTGATAAAGTGTCGATAATATGAATTGCACATTCTCGAGGAAAAGGTCGTGACTCTTTGTGTTGTTGTTGGTGCTGGAATTCACTGCTGGAAAATTCGAGTCTTCAGGAAAATAAAAATTCGGTTAAGGTATTTTTCTCACTATTTGCAAAAAAAAAGAAAAAAATTGGCAGCGCGCGCGCGCTCAGTGCATGCATTCGTCTATCTGTAGAGATAGTGTGAGAGTGTGAGTGTGCACCGGTCGGCGGCCGGTTGCTTGGCCGTTGGCGGCAGATTCCGCACAAGGTTATGACAACAGATATCACAAGTATCACAAGTGTGCGAAACAGTGCAAAAACCAACGAGAGATCTGGAGAGAACAAAGCAATTTTGGACTTTCTTTGGGTGAGGGAAATATTTAGATTGCAAAAAGAATTCTAGAATTGAAAAAATTAGTTTTGCGAATTTTTTTTGTCGGACGCCGCTCCGAGAAAGCGGGTTAACGCCTGCTGCCAGCGAAGGCAGTTCGTTGTTCGCCGAGTGCATATTGCATAGCGAACTTTTTATTCTCCGGTTTTTGCACGGGCCAATCAGAATTCGCGAGGGCGCTCCAAAGAAAATGGCAAACTTGTGACGCTGGGTCTTTGCGCGTCGCTTAGTGAACCCCGTAGTTCGCGATCACGTTGACGTCTGTCGCCATTTCCTCAACAGGAGGATTTCGCTCGATTATTTTTTAAGGTAAAAAGGGGAGAAAATGAGGGCCGCAAAGTCGCGATTATTGACGGAGGAAATCCGACGATTTGCCGCATGATTTGTTTGTCGAAAACGGTGACGAAATTTCGCGAGTGTTGCTGTGTGATATCGCGCCACGTTTCCGCTATCAATGCACAAGTGCATCTTGGAGCCGGCCACCGACTTTCTCCGGATCGCGTGTAGAAATCAATACAAGTTCACTCTCGTTGGTCCTCCGAAAATAAGGAGAAAATGCATTTTCCGTTTCTTGTGTTGACTTTCTTTGTCAAAAAAAGGAACGAACTGAGGCTGGCTCTCTGGTCTTTTTCTACTTAAAGAAAACGAGACGTTCTCGCCTCCTCTCGAGTGTCATCGGGACAAGTCGAATATCTTTGCTGCTTTGGACTCGTTAATTCCAGTGTTTTTTCCGTTCGCTGCTTTAAATCTTATCGTTTCACACTCTCACGATAAATTCACAATATTACCGATATTTTATTTTCATTCATAAAAAGTTCACTTTTATGACAATTGCAGAAATTATTTCCCTCCCCGCGATATGAATATACTTACAACAGGTGTTTTTATAAATCGAATTTCCATTTTCCCAAAAAGCGTAACTTTTCCCTATTTGCATTCGATAGGCACATAATAATTAAATACAGGTAAAATTTTCAAAAATAAACTTTTTACAAAGTTTACATAACCTCACAATTTTTTTTATTCCCACCGTGTTGTTGAGAAAGAGCGTTCAACAAAAATAGTATCTACTCCTCACAAAAAAGTAAAACTTGTTTAAATTAGGCACGAATTTTTTTTTATTTATTTTTTAATTTTATTTATTTACACTAAACACAATTTAAAGAAATTAAATTTGCGTTATTTCACTTGAGAAAATAGTTTTGCAAAAAATAAAGTTCGAGTTTGAGAAAAAAAAGGTGGAAATAAAAAGTGAATTTATTAAACAGGTGTAGGTTACAAAGAAAAAAATTCTGTCTGACTCGGCTCTGAAAAGTGAATGGAGCAGTGCGCTCATCTCTCACAGATGGCAGCACCGTGTTGTATTAGTGTCGAATATAATTCCCTGACAATTGTTATTTTCAAATGTCAACGCTTTTAAGTTGAATTGTGAAAAAAATAAAAGTAAATTCCGATAAAAGAGAGAATGTGATCCGAAAGTCTTGTAAAAGAATCATTGGAACGAGAGTTTTGATAATTTATTGCCAAAGAAAGATTAATAAACTTGAAAACAAAATTAGTAAGTAATAATTGAAAAATCATTTTTTTTTCTCTTTATATAAATCGCTCATGATATAAAACACATTGCTTTGTTTTTTTTTATTTCGAAAATTATTTTCTTTTCAAAAAAAAATAAATTTCGGTTTCAAAGAACGAATAAATTTATTTTTTATTATTTCAAAAAAGAAATTTGCTTAAAAGAAAATTATTTTAAATAATAATTTTTAACTTGGTTATCTTAAATAACAAAACATTGTAATAAAAAAAAGGTTAATTTGAAATGTTTAAAACTTAAAAAAAATTTCAACTTTTAAATAAAACAAAATTTATTTATTTTAAAAATTGAAAGCATTGCAATATTGAGTCACGCAATAAAAAATAATTTCCGAAATTTTTAGTTTTCTTTTTTTGATTTTTAATGTTGTCCGCAGTTTTGTAAAATGTCAAAAAAAAATATTTCGTTTATTTCTTGGAACTTAATTTTGAAAAAAAAAATATTCACTATATATAAATAAATATTAACAAAATAATTCGAATCCGTTAAAAACTGAATAAATAAATATACCAAAAATAATATAAAATACAATAACAATAAAATTTAAAATATATAATAAATTAAATTTTAATAAAAAAAAAAAAAAATCGAAATTACAATACAACTTGAAAAAAAACAATTTTCAGTCAGATTTAATTTGATAAAAAGAATTGATTGTTTTAGTTTTAATTTCTCTAAAAAAAATCATGTAAGATTACCTATTTTTTGAAATAAAAAATTTACTGGCTTTGTGAAAAGTGCATTAAAAGAGAAAAATTAAATTTTACAAAATATACAAAAAGGAGTGCAAAGGTTACGAGAGTTACGTGAAAATATAAATAGTTATATAGAAATAATTTAAACTTATTTGCAAAAACAATATTTTATATTAAATATTCCAATGAAGCATTACAGTAATTTTAAATAAATATAAATTCTTTTGACATCGTGTGCACAAAAGAAGAATTTGCATAAAAATGAGAGAGGAAACTTACTGAAACGGGAATTAATTATTTCTGGCTGAATGTTTGAAATATTGCCGCGTGTGTCTTGTTTAAAAATTTTTAACTTTTAAGTTACATGTCCTTTTTTGCCTCTCTTTAAAAAATCTTTCTGTAAAGAAATAAAAAAATTTTTTAATTAATTTAAAAAGACATTTATAAAATAAATTTTTTTCTGCTTAAAAATAAATTAATATTAAAATTAAAATTTATTAATTAAATTAATAATATAAAAATAATAAATGTAAACAAAAAAAAAATGAAATTTATAAAATAAATTTTTTTAGTTAAAAATAATATAAAATAATAAATGTGTAAAGTAAAAATGAAATTTGTAAAAATGATTAGAATCAATTTTTGTCTTTTTCTGTTATATAATATAAATTTTCATTTTTTAAAATTTTATTTATCTATAATTGTATTATTTTTCATTTTATTTTCTTATAAAAGTTTAACTTGGCACTTATTTAATTCTGGAAATTAAATTTTAGTTAAACATTTTTTTTCTTTAAATCTAGCATAAAATTTTAAAAAATGAAGTGAGATGCTGAACACTGAGTGCAAGTTTTGTTTTTATAAAAAATATTTAACGTTAAAATTTCATTTCTAGAATTAAGTGGGTGCCAGTTTCAACTTCATTATTTTATTTAATTAAGTTCAATTTTATGTTATGTTATGTTCTTAAATAAATAAAATAAATAAAATAAATAAAATAAATAAAATAAATAAAATAAATAAAATAAATAAAATAAATAAAATAAATAAAATAAATAAAATAAATAAAATAAATAAAATAAATAAAATAAATAAAATAAATAAAATAAATAAAATAAATAAAATAAATAAAATAAATAAATATAGATTGAATAAATATAAGTGACGCGCTCCGAAAAAAAGTGCCTAAGAAGCAAAAAATTTTAGGTTATGTTTGAAATTTTTTTAATAAAAATACACAAAAGGGATAAACTCTGAATACAAACTACTGAAGTTTAAGTCTTCATTACATTTTAAACAATTATTAAAAATTGATTTTAGTTTTACAGAATTAAACAGAAAGTTTTAATTAAGGTAAAAATTAAGGTTAAAACCCAAACATAACCTTAAAATGTTTTGCTTCTTTCGTACCTTTCTTCGGAGCGCCTTAAAAATAATTTATTTCATCTATTTCAATATTTATAAGTTTATAATCTTTTCTATATTTTTATTTTCTATTTTTACAACAATGAATATTAAGAATTAATAAAGAATTATAAATAATTCTTAATTCTTAATTCTTAATTTTCATTTTTGAAATTTCTAATTTTTTACATACTTGTGATGAAATGCCCTAAAAATTACATTTCAAATTAAAATTTACTTTTTTTTATTATTTAGGCCTGTTTATTACAGAATAATTAACAAATCGCTTTTATTAAAAGGCAATTATTATTTTTTTAATAAAAAGGCATGTTGAAAATTTTTCGAAAATATTTTTTTAATTTACTTTGTTTTAATTTTTCTCCGGCATTTATTATTATCGAAAAAAATCTTACGTATGTTTTATATACACGGAGAGGGAATATATATTAAATTTTGTAAAAGTATTTTATAATTTGGAGGAAAAATGTGACAAAGCGAAATTTTGATATAAAAAATACAAAAATTTAATTAAGAAATTTGATAAAATTACACGAAATACTATTGAGAATATTAATTAAATTTTAAGATAACTTTACTAAATTTCATATAATTTTTTTTAATTTAATACTTTTTATATCAATATTTTGTTTTGCACTTTTTCTCCAAATCGTAAAATACTTTTACAAAATTTAATATATCTGCAGTTTTTTTTTATAAATACGTCCTTTATTTAAAAATGTTATATTCCATAAAATTGAAATTATTTTTTAAATAAAATTGTTAATTTCTGTTATTATTTAAAAAGTTATGACTTATTTTTAGACTAAATATTTATCTTTTTTTTGCTGTCGAATAAGTGCTTGATTCAGGAAATTTAAATAATTTTATTTATGAAATTTTCATAAAATCTGACTTTTTATGAATGTAGAAAAATTCTTTCCAAAAAAAAACAAATTTTCGTCCACTCAACACATGTTTAATAAATAATTTCGTTTAAATATGTTTCTGAAATTAGCGTCGACACTAAGCGTCGAAAATTATTGTTTGTGACTTTTGGAGACGAAAATGTTGCTAAAATCACCTCTTTATTCACCTAGGGAATTAAAAATATTTCCAGAGTATTTTTTAAACTTAAAAACTTCGAAAAAAGTGTTTTATTATTTTCGGCTTCGAAAAAAAAACTCTTTTCAACGTTAAACTTAGAGTTTAAGGAAGAGTTCGACGAAAAATCGGAACAAAAGTAAAGGAGAAAGTAAATTTTAAGTTCGTCTTGGTAGAAGAATTTTCAATGTTTTAAACAATTAAAAGTTGCAGTAGAATAAAAATAATTTTTGTTAATTAGAAACGATTAGGGTAACAAAAGCTAAATATTTTCTACAGACGGAGAATTGTATTTCATCGGTTTAATTTTCAACTCTTTAAACAAAAGTTGAAAAGAACTTAATTTCTGTTTTTTAAGAGCGAAATTACAACATTGGACTGACTGTCGAGCCCGTTAAAGTCGAATGATGCAATTTTTCCACTGCAGTTCGCATCGACATCCCCTTAAAGTTTCTCGAGAGTTTGAAAATATTTTTGCGCCGCTGTACGAAGTGTGTGTGTGTGTGTGTGTGTTTGTTAACGCAGATAAATAATCGTAAGAGCTCGAGCAGTGCTTGTTGATTAGAAAGAAGAACGGTTATAAATTGATTTTGAATGTTGAAAATTGAACTAATGTGAAAATTGTTGAATTTTTGCCTTGCAGCTATGGCAGAGGGGAATGGGGAAATAAAAATGGAGGAGAAGCAGTCAAAAGAGGACATGGAGTGTGTCGAGCGAACGGAAGATTACGCAAAGCTAATCCAATATGGACTCGACGAAAAAGTGTCTGGCAAGCTCGACGAAATTTACAAGACCGGCAAACTGGCCCACGTGGATTTAGACGAAAGAGCGTTAGACGCTCTCAAGGAGTTTCCGGTGGATGGCGCATTGAATGTGCTCACGCAATTTCTCGAATCTAATCTAGAACATGTATCAAATAAGTCGGCGTATCTCTGTGGAGTTATGAAAACTTACAGGCAAAAAAGCAGAGCTGGCCAGGGCACCGGGACCGCCACAACTCCGAAGGCACCTGACGAAGATAAAATTAAGGTGATTTTTCTTTCACTTTTCTTCCCTTCAATTCTTTTGATAATGCCATTCAAATTGCGGCAAGGGCACGAACTAGGTCCGTAAATCCCATAAAAGAACGTAAATTTTCATCAAGTCCGTAAAAGTCAATTTCTCTTTTAAAAAAGTCCGTAATTTGATTGAAAAGGACGAAAAGTTCGTAAATTGCACAATATAATTTGGAGAATTTTTGAGAAATTAGAAATCATTGCAGAAATTCAATTATTTTCAAAAGTAATAAAATTCTTCGCAGAAATTCAATTATGTTCAAAAAATTAATAAAAATTCTCGTCAAAATTTCAATTATTTTCAAAAATAATAAAATTCTTCTCCGAAAATTAATTTTTAAAAATTAGAAAAAATTCTCGTCAAAATTTCAATTATTTTCAAAAAATTTAATAAAATTCTTCTCCGAAATTTAATTATTTTCAAAAATTAAAATAAATTCTCGACAAAATTTCAATTATTTTTAAAAATTTTAATAAAATTCTTGGCAAAATTTCAGTTATTTTCAATAACAATTAAATTCTTCTCCGAAATTCAATTATTTTCAAAAATTAAAAAAAAATTTCGACAAAATTTCAATTATTTTCAAAAATTTAAATAAAATTCTTGGCAAAATTTTAATTATTTTCAAAAATGATAAAATTCTTCTCCGAAATTCCATTTTTAAAAATTAGAAAAAATTCTCGTCAAAATTTCAATTATTTTCAAAAATTAAATTAAATTCTTCTCCAAATTCTCGACAAAATTTCAATTATTTTCAAAAATTTTAATAAAATTCTTGGCAAAATTTCAATTATTTTCAAAAATAATGAAATCATTCTCCAAAATTAAATTATTTTCAAAAATTAAAAAAATTCTCGTCAAAATTTCAATTATTTTCAAAAATTTTAATAAAATTCTTCCCCAAAATTCAATTATTTTGAAAAAATTAAAATAATTCTCATCAAAATTTCAATTATTTTCAAAAGTTTTAATAAAATTCTTTGCAAAATTTCAATTATTTTAGTAAATTTTCTTCAATTCAACGATTTTCAATTTCTACTATTTTAATAAAGTTTTACAAAAAAATTCAATTATTTAAAAAAAATTAAATAAAATTCTACGCAATTTATTTAATTATTTTCATAAAATAATAAAAATTTCATAGGAATTCAATTATTTACAAATTTTTTATAAATTTCTTCACAATAATTCAATTATTTTCAAAGATAATAAAAATTTTACAGGAATTCAATTATTTTCGTAAATAATAAAATTCTTTTTAGAAATTCAATTGTTTTCATAAATAATAAACATCATCGCGGAATTTAAATTATTTTTACTACAATTTTAATCAAATTTCTCGAAAAATGTAATTATTCTTAAAAATTATACTAAAATTCGTCAAAAGAATTCAATTATTTAAAAATTTGGTGACAAAATTCTTTATGGGAATTGAAATTTTAAGAAACATTCAATTATTCAATAAATTATTTTTTTTGTATTTAAAGAATTAAATTTCAGTAGAATTTTCTAATAAAAATTGATTTAGAAATTAATTTTAGATAATTGAATATTAAAAGCATTAAATTAAAGAGTGAATTTTTAGGAATAATTGAATTTTGAAAAAGTTTTCAAACTAAAATCTATGAAAATCTGAATTTCTCATAATTTCAACAAACAATTCTGCAAAATTTCTTTTTTTGAAAAAGTTTAATTGCGGAATTATTTTAAGTTTTGATTTTTTAATATAATATTTAATTGAAGAATTTCCGAATAATTGAAATTTTGCAAAATTGAATTGTAAACAAATGAATTTGAAATTCCTCAAAAGAATTTTTCAAAAATTATTAAAACGTAGAAAAAGTTACGCGTAATTTATTATTATTATACAAATTACAAAATTTTTTATTTTCAGATATGAATTTTTAAATAATTTCGTAATCAAAATTTTAAATATTCACTTATTAAATATATAATTATTATTGTTTTGTATTTTCAAAAATTTTAATATATGTAATTCTTCGCAAGAATTCAATTATTTTTTCAAATAGTTACATTCTTTGGAAAAATTCAATTATTTTTATAAATAGTAAAATTTTTGTAAAAATTCAATTCTTTTCAATAAAATTTTAATAAAGTTTCGCGAAAGAATTCAATTATTTTCTAAAATTTTAATAAATCCTTCTAAAAAATCCAATTATTTTTTTAAATAGTAAAATCTTTACAAAAATTACCAAAATTGTTTTTCATAAAACTTCACGAAAGAATTCAATTATTTTATTCATAATTTGTTATAAAATTTTCCAAAAGAATTCAATTATTTTTATAATAAGTAGGAAAAATCTTTGCAAAAATTCAATTATTTTTTAATTTTTAATAAAAATTTTCGAAACAGTTGAATTATTTTCTAAAATTCAAATAAATCCTTCGAAACTATTCAATTATTTTTAAAAATAGTAAAATTCTTCGCAAGAATTCCATTATTTTTATAAATAATAAAATTCTTCTTAGGAATTCAATTATTTTCAATACAATTTTAATAAATTTCAATAATCAAATATTTAATAATTATACCTAATTATTAACAGAAAAGATTATTTTAAAAAGTTGAAAAAAAATTCTTTTTTTAATTCAATTATTTTCGAAATTTTCAATTAAAATTGTCTAAAAAAAACTACATTATTTTCAAAACAATAAATTTAATCAAATTCTTCAAAACAATTTAATTAAGATTTTTATAAATTTTAATTAAATTTTTCGCGACAATTCGATTATTTTCATAAATAATAAAATTCTTCGAAGGAATTCAATTATTCTCAAATTTTTTTTATAACTTTCTTTGCAAGAATTCAATGATTTTTTAAATGATTAATTTAAAAATTTAAAATATTATAAAAGAAAAATTATTGCAGAAAATCAATTATTTACATAAATAATACAATTTTTATAGCGATTCAACTATTTTCATAAATAATAAAATGTTTTTTAGGAATTCAATTAATTTCATAAATAATAAAATATTTTTTTAGGAATTCAATTAATCTATCATGAATAATAAAATTCATCGCAGAATTTTATTTATTTTTAATACAATTTTAATTGACTTTCTCGAAAAAAGTTTATATTGTGTTTATAATTCTTAAAAATTCTATTAAAATTCGTCGAAAGAATTCAATTATTTAAAAATTTGTTGATAAAATTTTTTATGAGAATTGAATTTTAGGAAACATTCAATTATTCAATAAATTATTTATTTGTATTTAAATAATTAAATTCTTATAGAATTTTTAAATAAAAATTGATTTAAAAATTAAATTTTTAGATAATAATTGAATATTAAGAACATTATATAGCGTGAATTTTTAGAAATAATTGAATTTTGAAATTAATTTTTTAAAAAAAGTTTAATTGAATTTTTATTTTATATTATTTGAAGTTTTTATTAGAATAGTAGGTAAAAAATTACACGAATACATTCAGACAAGTGATTTTTAATACAAAAAAAATTACTTTGAATTTTTTATTTTCTAATATATATTTAGTTAAATTTACGAATAATTGAAATTTCGTAAAATTGAATATTGTAAACAAGTAAATTTGAAAATTCTCAAGGGAATTTTTTCGAAAATTTTGAAAAATAATTGATTTAGAGAAGAATTTTAGTTTAAAATTGTAGAAAATATGAATTGAATTGAAATGATGAAAATAATTTTGAAGAAGTGCAATATTCTTATAATATAAATTCATGATTTCATCACTCGACCATTTTTAATTATTATAGAACATGATGAAATTGAATTTATAGTTTTTAGTAAAATGTTGTCTTATTTGACTCGGATTGGTTATATTTTTGTAGAGGTCGGTAAATGGTTCGTAATTTAAAAATTGTTGAATGACTTATTTTGAAATACTTTGACTGGTTCGAGGCCTGAATTATTGCTTGGAAATTGATATGAAAAATATGTAAATAACTTTAATTTTTTTGTTGATCCGTTATTGTTAAACCTTCGTGAGAAAGTACAAGCGATTTGGTTCTTGCAGATGATTCTAGAAAGAACAGGATATCCCTTAGATGTGACTACAGGACAAAGGAAGTACGGCGGCCCTCCTCCAAATTGGGAGGGTCCTACTCCAGGAACTGGTTGTGAGGTAAGTTTGTTTTAAATATCGCAAAAACAGGTTTTTTCTTCTCTCCACCTATAAGCTAAACACAGTGAAATTATCAAAATTCTCTCTCTTTTTCTCTTTCATCATTCCTCCTCTCCTCCTCTTCTGCAAAAAAAACAAGGTGTTTTGTGGAAAAATACCAAAAGACATGTACGAGGATGAATTAATTCCATTGTTTGAGAAATGTGGCAAAATTTGGGATTTGAGGCTGATGATGGACCCAATGTCAGGTACCAACAGGGGATATTCATTTATCACTTTCACGAATCGAGACGCTGCACAACAGGCGGTTAGAGAGGTATGTAATTAACTATTTGCTCCATTAATAATTTCACTCTTTTTTATTATTATACTTTTTATTATTATTATTCTTATTATTATTATTATTATTATTACTACTATTTGTACAGTGTACAATCTTACTTTTTTTTTGTTGTCCCCCTTAGTAACCACCAAGCCGCTACGGACTGATTGGATCTTTTTATTTATTTATTATTTACAAAATTATTTATAAATGTTACAAAATTGTTATTGCTACCAAAGTCGGCACTTTTTCCAAACAATTGCAAAATATTTCCATATCATGCTTTTTTTAGATGATCAATATTTATTCCTGTTTCTTTGGTTTTTTAAACAAACAGTTTATTTATTTTCTTAGTTGTAGAAAACCTATATTCGTTCAGTCATATGTGTACAAGTAAGTTTGACAAAATTCACACAGAAAAGTAACCGCTTTTTCGTTAAATGAAAATTATTATCAAACAGTGTTTTTCACATTTTTTTTTTTGCTAAAATAAAAAATAATGCAACTAAAATTCTTTCACTTTGATTTATACATTTTATGTTTTTAAATAGACTTTTTAAAAATTTACTCCAGCTTATCCGGTTTCAAGTACCGAATTCAGTAAATAATAAATTCAGAATGTGACACTTTTCAGATTGCAGTCGATTTATTTAAAAAGATTTACTCGGCTCGAGACCTAGACTTTTTCTGCAGAGGAAAAATGTCAACACATGAAAAATTGCAATTTAATCCAAAAATCAAGAGAATAGAAAAATTGTATTTAAATTAAAAAGGGAAATTTTAATTTTATTTAAATATAAATTTTTGAATAATTATATAATCAAAAATTAAAAAATCCACTTATTTACTACATAATAACATTCTTTGGAAGAATTCAATTATTTTCTAAATTGTTAATAAATCCTTCGAAACAATTCAATTGTGCTTTTAAATAGTAAAATCTTTGTATAAAAATTCAATTATTTTTAATGAAATTTCACGAAAGAATTGATTTTTTTTAATTCGATATAAAATTTTTCAAAAGAATCCAAATATATTTAAAAATTTTTAAGAATAATTACATTTTTCGAGAAATTCGATTAAAATTGTAGTAAAAATAATTGAATTTCCTCGATGATGTTTATTATTTATGAATATAATTGAATTCCTAAAAAGAATTTTATTATTTACGAAAATAATTGAATATCTGTAAAAATTTTATTATTTATGAAAATAATTGAATTATTGCGAAGAAATTTATTTAAAAAATGTGTAAATAATTGAATTCTTATAAAATTTAATCAGATTTATTAAAATAATTAAATCAGCGAAGAATTTCAATTTTTTTAAATACTATTTTTAATTAATTAATCGAAAAATTCAATTATTTAAAATAAAATTTTCATAATATTTATTATATTTCGAAAAAATTAATTATTTAAAACAATGTTTATAAAATTCTTATAAAGAATTCAATTATTTTGAAAAATAACAAATTTTTTTACAGAAATTTAATTGTTTTTATACATTTAAATAAAATTTTCCCGAATAATTCAATTATTTTCATAAATAATAAAATTCATCGCAGGATTTCAATTATTTTTAATACAATTTTACAGGAATTGCTCAAAAATGTAATCATTCTTAAAAATTGAATTTCAATTTCCCAACAAAATCAATTATTTAAAAAAATGTTTTTTTTTTGAAATTCTTCGAAAGAATTCAATTATTTTCAAATATTTTAATGAAATTGTTCTAAATAAATCAATTATTTTAAGTATAATTTTAATTACATTTTTTGAAATAATTCAATTATTCTTCTAAATTTTAATAAAATTCTTTCCAAGAATTCAATTATTTACATAAATAATTTGCAAAATTCAATTATTTTCATAAATAACAATATTCATCACAAGAATTTAATTATTTTTAAAAGTGATGAATTTCTTCTTGGAAATTCAATTATTTAAATAAATCCTTATAAAATCGTTCACCAGAATTCAATTATTTTCATAAATAATAAAATATTTTTTAGAAATTCAATTATTTTCCAAAAAATTTAATAAAATACCACACAGACATTCAATATTATTGTGAAAAATTTTAATTAAATTGTTTGAGAAATTTAATTATTTTTAAAAACTTTTCGCAATTAAATGATTTTCAATATTTATTATTTTCATAAAATTTCCAAACAGAATTCAATTATTTAATAAATTTTTTTGTAAAAATCTTCGTAAGAATAAATTCTTTTAATGAATGATAAAAAATTCTCTGGAGTTTAATTATTTAAATTAGAATTTGCGTAAAATTAGTCGAAACAATTCAATTATTTAAAAATTTCAATAAAATTCTTCGCAAAAATTAAATTATTTTTAATATTTAAATTCTTTTATGAATAATAAAATTCGTTTGCAGAAATTCAATTTATTAGCAGGAAATAAGAAAGAAGTAAATATATTTTTCATGAAAATAAGGAAAAAAAGTGAGGAAAATAAAAAAATATGGATTGAAATTTTTGTCAGATTTGTGAAGTGTCTAAAACTAGTTTTTTTGGTCCTCAAGTTAAATTTTTCGATAGCTACTTTTTTACTTTGAAAGCTACTTTTTTTAAAATTAATTATCGTGTGCGAAGTCTGTAATTGAAATTTTGAGAATTTTCGAACATAATTGAATTTCTGCGAAGAATTTTATTACTTTTGAAAATAATTGAATTTCTGCAATCATTTGTAATTTCTCTAAAATGCTCCAAAATTATATCGTACAATTTACGAAGTCTTCGTTCTTTTTTACTCAAATTACGGACTCTACGGATCTTTTTTTTAAAAAACTGACTTGAAGTAAATTTACGGACCTAGAGAGAGTCCTGAATAATGTGTTTAAAAAACATTAAATTTTTGTAATGAAGTTATAAATTTGATTTAATAGAAAAGAAAGATATTTTTAAGAGTTTTATTTGCTGGTTCGAGTTAGAAATGAAAAAGCGTATGACAAGTGAAAATACACAGTTTGATGCATAGTTTTCAAAATGATAAAGTGAATAAAAAAGCTTGGCAGTTGAAGATTGCAAAGTTTGTAAGAAAATGCAGATAAGAGACAAATTTGAAAAAAGGAAAAAAAATGCATGAGAAACTTATTTGTACACAAAATAATAGGTATGTATGTATATTGTTGAGCGTTTCGAAAAAGTGTCACGAATTCCTCTATGTGGCTTGTTCAGCGACCGTATACTTTTCATATATATATATATATATATAATATATTTTAGTAGCAGTAGTTTTTGACCTCTTAATTTTTTGAAATGAATTAGTAAAGTTTTGTTTTATTCTCTCGATATTGTGAACTACAATGAGAACAATCCACATAAATGATAGTCTTTTATATTTATATGTCCCTGACCATTTATTCATTGTTTAAGCATTTATACTGACTTATCCAACTTATCCCGAACATATGACAGTGGAAAAAGTGATATTAATGGTATTCTACGGATGAGTTTATTTTCCAGCTCTCCTCTTTGCTCAGTGGGCAAAATTGGGAGTGGAGAACCTTCCTGGAAAAAAATCGAAAAGAGAAAAAAGAAAAATGAAAAAAAGAAAGAATTCGAAAAGTATCTTGTGTGCTTTTTTCTAAAATTGGTTAGGGGTATATTTACTCAATTGGATCAGTGACAATTTTGATAACAAAATTTAAAAATTGGTAGGCTTAAAATTTGTTTACAGGAACACATGATACGCGACCGCCGGTTTCCTATTATGTGAAGACTCGAGCGACAAAACACTTTCTCTCGCTAACCTGGATCTAAATTATACCAAAATTTACCAAAATTTACCAAAAATTACCAAAAATTTTTTCCTAAATTTTAACACTTTATAAAGCAAAAAAAAAAAAAAACTTTTATTTTATTAAGATTTTAAATCCAACTTGGAATTAATTGAAATGAAACAAAATTAGGCATGTTTGTGTTTTTCTTCATCCCACAGCTCGATAATCACGAAATAAAACCCGGCAAGAGTCTGAAAGTAAACATTAGCGTTCCTAATCTACGACTTTTCGTGGGGAACATACCAAAGTCAAAAGGCAAAGAGGAGATCTTGGAGGAATTTGGTAAATTAACAGGTAAAGTGAATTCGAGGCGTGTGTACCTACCTACCTACCTTTACCTACCTGTCTACCTGTATCGTAACATAAGAGTGGTAGTTTTTAAGTAGTGGTTGTACATGGTATGGAAGTATGGAGCATCCGAGTCACCCTGTCATAGCGTGATAAACGAAACCTTCGACACCTTCAGTTCTGGTCAGTCTCTCCTTGCCTCTCGGTTTATTAGTGAACAATAACACCTCTCTGGTCCAAGTCTTCTTTTCCTCTCATATTTAGGTTGAGTTATGAGTTTTTATATCTGTCTCCAACATTGCGGATCAAACAATTTTTTTTTCTTTTCCTCTCTCTCTCTCTCTCTTTCTCTGTTTCTCTCTTTTCCTGCACTTCCATCGACATTCTTCCTTTTCTTCTTTGCATCAACATTTTTTTTTTATTCTCTTTTTACTTTTTTTCAATTCATGTGAGCGATGATGGGGAAAGAAATAATTAAAACACCACAAAATAATAATGATTTCGTTTCTCGCGGAAATTCATGACTAAACCTGGGGGTTTGGGAGACCTGCGTGGACCGCTGGGGCGTGTAGCTCGCTAAAAAACGGACAGGCACTCCCAAAGCCGAAAACAAAAAAAACAAGTCTTCCAAAAAGTCTTTTTCCTACTCCCCCTCATCTCTGGTCAAAAAAAATTCCCTCTCAGGTCATGTTCATTTTACAAAAAAACACCCACGGTCAGTCAGCCAATAAAGCAGAAGAAAATATTCTAAAGGCAAGCTTAATTGGCAAATTTCCTTCCACATTATTCTTACAGCTGAATGATTATGAGATTCGGAAAGGCAAAAAGATTGGTGTAACCGTATCTTATAACAATCATCGCTTGTTTGTGGGAAATATTCCAAAGAATCGAGACCGAGATGACTTGTTCGAAGAGTTTACAAAGCACGCACGTAAGTTGACAATTGCCCTTAAATCAGAAAGGCAGGCATTTTTCTGGGAACAAAACAAAAAAAAAATAAATAAACGAGACGAATAATTTCTTTTTCCTTTAATTTTTGCAATTGGTCGCAAACGATTCTCTGGGGGAGATATTACTTTTTTTTACACCGCAACTTATTTCGTTTTCATTTTCAATTTTATTTCATTCTTTTTTTTTCTAATTCTATATTTAGAAGGCATTTTTTATTAACACATGGTATCATAAAACGGTCAAATTTTATTTTAATAAATCACTAAACCAAGTCACTGATGAATTTTTAATTCTATTTACAGAAGAAAATCTCTAAATCTGAATTTCTTTTATTACCATACAGGGTTGCCAGGGAAACGTCAGGGATTTTTACTGAAAAAAATTTAAATTTTAAAATTCTTAGAAAAATTCTGAACTTTGCTGATTTTTTTTTCTGATAAACTATTAATTGAATCTTAAGAGTTGCGTTTACAATTTTCATAATAATAATAAAAAAAAAAAAAAAAAAAAAAAAAGTTTTGATTTGAAAGTTTATAAAGTTTCCATTTTGGAATGAATTTAATTAGAAATTTTAAAGAACTTAGAGTTTGAAAAAATATAGTTAAATTATTAAAAATATAAATATTTAATTAATTGTTAAAAACAATAGAAGAATTTTAGTTAAAAACACTAAAAAAATTGAATTTTGGACAAGTTAGAAATGACTGCAGAAATTCAATTATTTTCAAAAATGAAAAAAATTCTTAGCAAAAATTCAATTAGGTTCAAGAATTCAAAAAGAAAAAAATTCTTGTCAAAATTTTAATTATCTTTGTTGTAAATAATAAAACTCTTCTCTAAAATTCAATTATTTTTAAAAATTTTCCTCAGTTCAATGATTTTCAATATTTACTATTTTAATAGAATTTGCTAAAAAAATGCAATTATTTCAAAAAAATGTTAAGAAAATTCTACGCAAACATTTAATTATTTTCAAAAAAAATAAAAATTTCACAGGAATTCAATTATTAAAAAATTTGTTATAACTTTGCAATAATTCAATTATCTTCATAATTAATAACATTTTTTAATAAGGATTCAATTATTTTCATAAATAATAACATTCTTTTTCGGAATTCAATTATTTTTCAATTATTTTTATAAATAAATAAAACTCATCGAAAAATTTCTATTTTTTAAATTCAATTTTAATCGAATTTCTCGTTTTATGTAATTATTCTGAAATATTTTATTAAAATTTGTGAAAAGAATTCAATTATTTAAAAATTTATTTGATAAAATTCTTTACGATTATTGAATTTTAAGAAACATTCAATTATTCGACCAATTATTTATTTTTGTATTTAAATAATTGAATTCTCGTAGAATTTTTTAATAAAAATTGATATAAATATGAATTTTAGTTAAAACTTTGCATAATAATTGAATATTAAGAGCATTTTACCAAGAATTTTTTAGAAATAATTGAATTTTAAATAGGTTTTATTTTAAAAATTGACAAAATTTTAATTATTTTAAAAATTGACAAAATTTTAATTATTTTCAAAAATTTTCTCCAGTTTAATGATTTTCAATATCTACTATTTCAATAAAATTTTCGAAAAGAATTGAATTATTCAAAATGAATTTTAATAAAATAGATTCAATCGTTTTCATATATAATAAAAATTTCACAGGAATTCAATTATTATTTACAAATTTTTAAAAAATTTCTTCGCAATAATTCAATTATTTTCATAAATAATACAATTTTTACAGGGATTCAATTATTTTCCAAATTAATAAAATTCTTCATAGAGATTCAATTATTTTCACAAATAATAAAACTTATAGCTGAATTTCAATTATTAGTAATACAATAAATTTTAATCCAATTCCTCAATAAATGTAATTATTCTTAATTATTTTATTAAAATTAGTCAAAAAAATTCAATTATTTAAAATAATTTGTATTTAAATAAATAAAATAATTGAATTCTCGTAGAATTTTCTAATAAATATTGATTTAAGAAAGGTTCAGTTTTAATTTTAGATTACAATATTTATTATTAAAAGCCTTTTAGCGTCAATTTTTAGAAATAATTAAAAAAATTCCAAATTAAAATCTTTGAAAATCTTAATTTTTCATACCTTTAACTAACAGTTCTGTAAAAGAATTAATTTTTTTGAAAAAGTTTAATTGAATTTTTTTTGTAATTTGTTTGAACTTTTTATTTTCTAATATATGTTTAATTGAAGAATTTCCGAATAATCGAAATTTCGTAAAATTGAATTGTACAGAAATGGATTTGAAAATTCTCAAAGAACTTTTTTAATAATTATAAAAAATAATTGATTTAAAGAAGAATTTTAATTGAAAATTCTAGAAAATAATAAATTAATTGAATTGAAGCGATGAAAATAATTTTGAAGAAGTTACAGTAACAATTAAATAAAATAAATTAAATTAAATATACTGTAAAGTAATGCTTTTATCTCTTTATTATCTTTAATTATTATAAGTTGTTAAATTTCAAAAACGTCGGAATTTGAAATTTTTGAAAATCTGAATTCCTATGGGAAAATAATAATGATTAAATATTTATTTAAAAATAATGTCATTGATGTTTTCGAATAATTTTCCAATTAAAGAAATTCGTAAATAAATGTAAAAGAACATTTTTTTGAAAATCTAATCATTTTTAGAGTGAATCAGAATATTCTTTCGGGTCAGACAGGGCTCGAACTAGGTCCGTAAATCCCGTAAAAGTCCGTAACTTTGCTTGAAGTCCGTAAAAGTCCGTTTTTTTGCAAAAAGGTCCGTAAAGTCCGTAATTCGATTGAAAAAGGTCCGTAAAGTACGTAAATTATACGATATAATTTGGATAATTTTAGAGAAATTACAAATGATTGAAGGAATTCAATTATTTTCAAAAGTAATAAAATTCTTCGCAAAAATTCAATTACGTTCAAAATTTTTTAAAAATTCTCGTCAAAATTTCAATTATCTTTAGAAATAATTAAATTCTTCTTCGAAATATCAATTATTTTCAAAAATTTTAATAAAATTCTTGGAAAAATTTCAATTATTTTCAAAATTTTTCCTCAATTCAATGATTTTTAATAGGTATCTATACTATTCTAATAAAATTTTTCAAAGGATTTAAATTATTTTTAAAAAAATCTAATAAAATTCTACACAAACCTTTAATTATTTTCGAAAAATAATAAAAATTTTACAGGAATTTCATTATTTACAAATTTTTTTTATAAATTTCTTCGCAATATTCAATTATTTTCATAAATAATAAAATTTTTACAGGTATTTAATTTTTTTGGCAAATAATAAAATTCTTATTAGGAATTCAATTATTTTGATAAATAATAAAGCTAATTGCAGAATTTCAATTATTTTTAATACAATTTTAATCGAATTCCTCGAAAAATGTAATTATTCTTAAAAATTTTATTAAAATTTATCAAAGAAATTTAATTATTTTAATAACCTTTGCTACAATTTATTTATTAGAATTTAAATATTATTTTTAATAAATTTTTAATTAAATTTCTTTAAAGAATAAAATTATTGCATTCAAAATTTTTAATGCAATTCTTTGCGTAAATTATCATATTATCTTTATAAATAATAAAATTCTTCTCTAAAATTGAATTATTTTCAAAAAATTTAATAAATTTCTTGGCAAAATTTCAATTATTTTCAAAAATTTTCCCTAATTTAATTATTTTTAATATCTACTATTTTAATAAAATTTTGCAAAAGAATTCAAATTATTTGAAAATTAATTGATACAATTCTTTAAAAGAATTCAATTTTAAGAAACAGATGTAATTATTTAATAAATTTTCAATAAATTGTTTTTTTTGTATTTAAATAATGAAATTCTCGTTGAATTTTCTCATAAAAATTTATTTAAAAATGGAATTCAGTTAAAATTTTAGATTATAATTGAATATTAAAAGTATTAGAGCGTAAAGTTTTAGAAATAAAATTTTGAAAAGGTTTCAGATTCAAATCTTTGAAAATTTGAATTTTTCATATTTTTAACTAAGTAACAATTCTGTGGAATTAATTTTTTTGAGAAATTTTAATTGCGAATTTTTTTTTATGTTATTTGAAGTTTTTATTTTCTAATACATATTTAATTGAAGAATTTACAAATAATTGAAATTTCGTAAAATTGAATATTGTAAAGAAATGGATTTGAAAATTGTCAAAGAACTTTTTCGAAAATTATTAAAAATAATCGATTTTAAGAAGAATTTTAGTTAAAAATTCTTGAAAATAATAATTGAATTGATAATGATTTTATCACTCCAACTTTAATTATTATAAAACATGAAGAAATCGATCGCTCCGAGTCGAAGACTCGGAGTTATCGATATCTTCATGTTTTTTAGTTATGAAAAAATCTAATTTATAGTTTTAAGTAAAATGTTCTTTTATATATTTTTGTCAGTAATTGGTCCGTAAATGGTCCGTAATTTTTTATTTTTGGTCCGTAAAGTCCGTATTTTTAAATACTTTCACTGGTTCGAGCCCTGGGTCAGAGGAAAAGTTAAAATTTTATCTGGATGTCAGGGAAAAGTGAGGGAAAAACAAAATTAAATTTTAGTGGCAACCCCGTATTAATTCAATATAGTACAAATTTTCTACTAATTTTTATTAATTTTCTATTAAAAGTTTAGTAAAAAAAAAATTAGAATTAGTACTAAATTAGGAATATAATTTTAATATGAAAATTAGTAGTCATATTAACTGATTAATAATTTATTTCAATTGGTGGATTCAAATTTAGAGGCGACACCAGAAGCAAAGTTTAAATAAACGTAAAACACCCAGAAAAATGTAATTTTGTAGAATTACTTCTCAATTTCATTTATAAATTAGAAAAAATGTTCAGTTAATAATAATAATAATAAATGAAAAAAATTGAATAAGGAAAGTCTGATTTAATTTACTTTTTTCAACATAATAATGAGAGTCTTATTTAACTTTAGAAATACCCCTTTTTTACCTTTTAATAAATGAAAAGCCGAATGTGATAACCCTCTGTTATCATATATTTCTTTAAATAACGAATTTGATAGAAATAAGAGCCAGTCATTTATTTAAAGGGAAAATAAATTTTAAATAATAAAATTTAGAAAATGGTCCAGAAGAATTTTTTTTAAATTTTAACAATAAAGAATAATTCTAAATAATGACAGAAAAAAGTTGTTGTACATTAACCTTAACGATTATTCGTCTATTATCAAATAAATATTTACTTGAATCAAATAATTTTTATTTATATGAAAATAATTTTTATTCAAATCAAATAATTTTTATTTCAATCAAACAATTTTTATTTAAATCAAATAATTTTTGTTTAAATCAAATAATTTTTATTTAATTTAAATCATTTTTATTTAATTCAAATAATTCTTATTTAATTCAAGTAAATTGTATTTGAACCAATAATTTTATTACTTTTCAATTAATAAAATTCATAAATTCATACCCATAGTTCTAAATAATAGAAATTACTTTTTTCTGGGTGAAATAAAATTACCAAAACTATGAGTAAAATTGAAAATTCACAAGTGTCGAAACTCCACCTAATCCTTCGAATAAAAAAATACTTTAACTAACAGCAGTTATTGTTTTCCTATAAAAACCAATTAATCAAGATCTTTTATAGATAATATGACACTTTGAATTTTCGGAAATTGATAAAATTAGATTTTCGTATATTTGGAAATTCCTCCTTAAAAAAAAAAAAAAAAAAAAAAAAAAAAAAAAAATCGATACATGAATCAGCTGATGACGCTTTATCAGTATCTGTTTTGACATGACTATATTAACGGAATGAAAATAGCTTGAATGCGTTTCTTAATCGAATGATCAAGTCGCGAGTGCGTGTTTAACATTAGAATTCTTGCATGAAATCTCAGAATCTGGACACAGAGAGGAGACCAATGAGAATGTGAAATTTCATCCCGGAGGCAAGTGCCTTTTTATAATCCAAAAAATAAAGGCACAGGATGATCGATTTTGTATTGGTTTTTTTTATAACAAGAGAAAAACGTCACTATTGGAAACAAAGTTTCAAGTATTTTTTTCCGACTTTTTTTTGGCATTAATTTTCACGTACATTTCTTTCACTGGGTGTGCATGCTAATTTTTCACTATATATAGTTTTTATTTTCTTGCTTTGAATCTTTTTTTATTTCATTTTATTGAGCGTTTTTTATTCACTGGGAATTTCGAAAAAAAAAATTTTTCTTTTTCTATAGATGGCTTTGGGTTATCATAATTTTTTGAAAAATTTGGTATAAGGGGTCGATTTAGAAATTTGTCAGTAAAACTAATGGTAGGTACCATGCTATCCGAATGCCAGTTTTGTGCTTTTAAACTGAGAGGAAGGAGAAGTAAACCGTGTACCAGAAAGCACCAGTACAAAATAAAATAGACAGTAAATAAGTAATACTCTCCTCTGTATAAAAAAAAGCGTCGTTAAATTTTCTTAATTCTAACATCTAATCAAAGATCTTGATGGGTTTTGTGTCTTAAATGTTTTTTAAATTCAACGCTTTCCTTTCAAAAAAAAATACGTTTATTTAAAAAAATATATATTGTCGACAAAAAAAATTTAAAAGTTTGCTAAAATTTTTTTTATAATTACAGATACCAGATCATCATTCGAAGAATTTTTTTAATTTATTTTCCTTATTTTTGATTTCTTACTAAATATACATTTGGGTTATAAAGTTTTTTAACATTTAGTTATTTTAATTTATAATTTACAATTAACAAATAACAAAGAATAAATTTTTTTGTTTGTAAATATTACGAAACAGAAATTTGACCAGACACAAAAAATAATATCAACAATTTGCAATTTTTTTTTCTTAAAAACTTAAATCGTCTTGTGAAAAAGTATAATTTTTTCGATTTGAAAAAAAGGACAGTAATTTTCCTTTTGTTAAGGGTTGGTAAAGAATTTTTGAAAAAAATATTTTTTGTTGATTTAACAGACACTATGATTTTTAAGAGGCAAGATTTTTTAACACAAAGTTTGTTTTTCTCTAAGGAACAATATTTTATTTCACTTTTACGTTAAACAAAAAAACTTTAGAAAATTTGCATGTTTTCAAAACTGATTTTTTACGTAGTGTTTACTTTTATCTTCAAATGCGTTGAATTATTTAGTATTTAATAAATAAACTCAAAACTAATTCTTATTTCTTGAATAATTGTAAAATTCTTGAAAAATAGTTATTTATTTTTGATTTAAAAAATAATTTTTATGGACAGGAAAGAAAATTTTTGAATTTTAGGAACTAAATTTTAAAGCTTTCCTGCCGTCTTTTATTTATTTATTTTTTTTGTGAATTTTCTTTCTTCAATAAGTAATTAATTACTTTCTCTTATTATTTTGCTGATATTTTTCGTCTATTGACTTGAGACTCACCAATATTTTTACGCTTTTACTTTACACAGCCGGCTTAACCGAGGTGATCATCTACAGTTCTCCGGACGACAAAAAGAAAAATAGGGGTTTCTGTTTTTTGGAGTACGAGTCACATAAAGCGGCGTCCTTGGCTAAACGCAGGCTCGGCACCGGTCGCATGAAAGTTTGGGGGTGTGATATTATCGTCGACTGGGCTGATCCCCAAGAGGAGCCCGATGAGCAAACAATGTCCAAAGTAAGCTGCCGAAAATTATTTATTATTATTATAAGAATAAAATTCATAATTTTTTAATTTTAATTTTCAATTCTTTCTATATTTCTAACAATAATTGAACTCTACAGTTTTGAAATTGAACTTATTTATTTAGAAATTATTTTTTTTATTTTTATTTACAAATTAACAGGCAAAGAAGCCTTTAAATGCAACTGAATTTATTTTAAATAATTTTGCGAATAATTTTATTTAAAAATTCAAAAAATTAATGGAATTTTATAAAAGTTGAGCTTTTAATTTTTATAAATAATATATGAACAACTAGAAAAACTGGCTATTTCATTTACTATAATTATGTCAATTACAAAATTTTTTATTTTAAAAAATCATCTTCAATTTTTAAATATAATTTCAGATATAAAATTTTTAAAAAATTCAACTTCAATAAAATTCTTTGAAACAGTTGAATTTTTTTTTTAAAAATTAATAAAATTCTTCTCACGAGATTCAGTTATTTTCAATACAATTTTAATTATATTCGTCGAAACATTTTTGCAAGAATTCAATTATTTTCATACAAATAATAAAATTTTTTATAGAAATTCAATTATTTTCAATATAATTTTAATACAATTTCTCGAAAGAATTTAGTTATAAGAATTTAATTAGTTTCAATACAATTTTAATCAAATTCTTCAAAAGAATTTAAATATTTTTACAAAATTTCTATTTAAAAATCGTCGTTATTTTCTATAAAAAATTTCAAAATCGTGAAATTCGTCGATTTTTTCTATTTTTTCTCTTCAGAAAATTTGTTAAACTTTAAATTTCGACTGAATTCGCAATTTTTTTTTTATTTTCAAACTGAATTATAAGCAAAAGTGAAGTTTTTGAACGATTTTGAAAATCGTGAAATTTGTCGATTTTGTCGATTTTCTTTAACAGAAAAATTTTCTAAATCTTAAATTTCGACTAAATTTGTAATTTGTTTTCGTTTACAAACTAAATTTTAGGCGTAAATTAAGTTTTTAACGATTTTGAAAATTTTTCTAATATTAAATTTCGTTCATTTTTTCGTTTTTTTCTACAGAAAATTTCAAAATCTTTGATTTTGACTAAATTCATAAAATTTTTTCATTTTCCAACTAAATTATGCGCTAAAAATTAGTTATTGAACGATTTTGAAAATTTTTCATTTAGAAATCGTCGTTTTTTTCTATAAGAAATTTCAAAATCGTGAAATTCGTCGATTTTTTCAATTTTTTTCTCTACAGAAAATTTTTTAAACCTTAAATTTCGACTGAATTCATAATTTTTTTCATTTTCAAACTAAATTATATGCAAAAATTAAGTTTTTGAATGGTTTTGAAAATTTTTCAAAATCGTCATTTTTTTTCAACAAAAAATTTCAAATTCGTGAAATTCGGCAATTTTTTCGATTTTCTTTAACAGAAAATTTTCTAAATCTTAAATTTCGACTAAATTCATATTTTTTTCGTTTAAAAACTGAATTTAAGGCGTAAATTAAGTTTTTGAACAATTTTGAAAATTTTTTTAATATTAAATTTCGTTGATTTTTTTGTTTTTTCTACAGAAAATTTCAAAATCTTGGATTTCGACTAAATTCATAAAATTTTTTCATTTTCCAACTAAATTATACGCTAAAAATATTAGTTATTGAACGATTTTGAAAAATTTTCATTTAGAAATAGTCGTTTTTTTCTATAAGAAATTTCATAATTGTGAAATTCGTCGATTTTTTCGATTGTTATTACAGAAAATTTTCTAAATCTTAAATTTTGACTAAATTCAATTTCAAAAAGCTTCAAATTAAAGTCTTAGAAAAATTGAATTTACAAATTTTAATTGAAAATTCAGAATAAGTTAGTTTTTTGAAACATTTCTATTCACATTTTTTTTAAATTAGTTATATTTTTAAATTTAATTGAAAAATTTTCAAATTATTCGACATTTTTTGAAATTTTCTTGTAAAGAAGTAGATTTAAGAAGAATTTTAGTTTTAGGTGAACTTTTTTTTTGTTGAAATAAACTTTAGATTTTAATTTTATTACTAAAAGATACCAACTTTTTTTTGTTCAAATTCTTTTTTAGAAGCTATATTCAATTCTTTCAAAAATTGTATTTTTGAATAATACAATAAAAAATACAATTAAAAAGTTTTGTCAGTAATTGGAATTTTTTTTAAATTTTATGAAAAATAATAGATTTTTCTTAGAAATTTTATTAAATTTTTATAAAATAATATTTTTAATAATTTTAATTGTAAATTTTAAAAATAATTGATATCTCAAATATTTTAATAAAAATTAATGAAAATTAACTCAAAAAATTATAAAATAATATTTTCTTTGAAAATTTTTGTTGAAAGTTGTTAAAAAAATTGATTAGTATTCTGTATTTTGGAAAAAGTGTTTTAACAAATTGAATTATTTTCCAAAAATTACAATATAATATATTCAAAAATTTATTTCTTAGAATTTATTTATCGTAATTTTTTAGACTTAGGCATCATTACAATTTTGGAAAATTAATGCATTTTTATATTTGCGATTAAAATTCTTAAAAAAACTTAATTTTTTAAAAAATTCTTAAAATTATTTTCTAGAAATTCTTTTAATTAAATTATTGGCAAAAATTGTTACTAAATTACAATTATTTCGAAATTTTAAAATTCCAATTTTATATAATTCAAAAATCTATTATCTTTTAAAAACTATTTTTAAATATTTTTAAAAAACTAGTTAATTTTTTGATATTCAATTATTTTAAATATTGGAATAATAATATTTTCTTAAATATTTTAAAGAATTCACTTTAATTATTTTAAAAAATAAAACCATGAAGAGTTGCAATTATTAAAAATAAAATTTGTGTATTTAAATATACATAGTTAAATTCCTGAAATATAATTTCAAATGTCCTAGCATTCACCCACTATACAGCTTTACGTAGCAAGTCTCTGTCTGACTATAAATTTACTTACTACTCAATAGTAAAGCAGGTCAGATTTTACTGCAGCTAGGCTACTCATTTTGTGTTAGTTTACACCTCCTGATTATTCTCGTACCTCACAATTTGTAATCCCTTCAGTTTTTTAAAAATAAAAAAATTATATCTGAACTTCTCTGGTAAAGAGCAACAATATATTAATTTTTCAATAGAAACTAATTTGTGAATTGATTTAATTTTTCTGAAAGCAAAAAAAATTAAATATTCACAATTACTAAACAATAATTTTTTTCTGCGTAGGTTCGTGTTCTGTATGTTAGAAATTTGACTCAAGACTGTACGGAAGAGAAACTAAAGGAATGCTTCGAACAGTATGGCAAAATTGAAAGGGTAAAAAAAATCAAGGACTATGCTTTTATACATTTTGAAGATAGAGAAAATGCCATGAAGGTAAGGAACTTGTTTTTTTTTAAATTCACGTGATTATTAAAGTTTGTTCGCTGTTGGACATTGAGAATAATTATTTTGACTTTCAGGCGATGCGGGAAGTAAACGGCAAGGAGATGAGTGGGTCCCATATAGAAGTCTCCCTCGCGAAACCGCCGTCCGACAAAAAGAAGAAGGAGGAAGTTTTGCGAGCCAGGGAACGTAGAATGTATCAAGTGTTGCAAGGACGTGGCGGGTAAGATATAAAAATATCGTTTATAAATACGTACTTATCTTATTGATCGTTCTTTTATTGATAATAAGAAGCGGCTACGAACGAAAGACTTATCTAAAAGACTAAATATAGAATTTAACGTCTTTCGACATGTTTAGGACCTCATGTTTTCTATTGGTTCAACTATTTTCTTATCCATTCTTATAATTATAAATACCTATCTCCTAAATGTTTTAAAAAATATTCAAAAGAATAAAGAATTATTTTCAAAATTTAAAAAAAAATTTATATATTCAAATAGAGATGATTCATTTTTATCGGAATAAAGTTGACAATTTGAGCCACAAATATATAAAAATTTTCTAAAAAATTTGAAGATTCAAAATATTAAACAATATTAAACAATATTTCTGACAATAGTTTCTTTTTAAATAACTTAATTCTTCAAGAACTATTACAAAATTATTACTTATAAATTATTTAATGAATAATTTTAATAAATAATTCAAAACTAAAATTCAATTTTAAAAATTACAAATGATTCCAAAAATTAGAAAATGCAAATCGTCAAACTTGAACCATAAAAATTTGAAACAATCTTATTAACCGAAAAATAATTTTTAAAATTCAAACATATTATTTTTTCATTAAATTGTCTTGAAAAATATACTCAAATTTTTTAGAAATTTTTTTGCAATAATTCAATTATTTTGATAAATAATAAAACTCATTGCAGAATTTCAAATATTTTTAATAGAATGTTAATCGAATTTCTCGAAAAATGTAATTATTCTTAACATTTTTTTTAAATTCGTCGAACGAATTAGATTATTTAAAAATTTGTTGATAAAATAAAATAGAATTCTTTATGAGAATTCAATTTTAAGAAACATTCAATTATTCAATAAATTATTTATTTTTGTATTTAAATAATTTAATTCTCGTAGAATTTCTTTTTTTTTAAATAAAAATTGATTTAAAAATGAATTTCATTGAAAAGTTTAATTTAATTTTTAAAAAATTATTTCACGTTTTTATTTTCTAATATATTTGAATGAAAAATTTCCGAATAATCGAATTTTCATAAAATTGAATTGCAAACAAATAAACAAACAAATTGTGAACAAACAAAACAAACAAATTGTAAAAAAACAAAACAAATTGTAAACAAAAACAAACAAAAAATTAAACAAACAAATAAATTCTCGTCAAAATTTCAATTGTCTTTAAAATAATAAAATTCTTCTCTAAAATTCAATTATTTACAACATTTTTTTTTAAAATCTTGTCAACATTTCAATTGTTAAAAATGAAATTAAACAAACTAAAATTGAAATTTGTTAAAATTTTAAATTTAAATAAAAATTCAATTATTGGATATTAAAAATTAAGTTAAATTAAATTAAATAAATTAATTTGAAAATTCTCAAAGAATTATTCAGAAATTATTAAAAATAACGGATTTTTAGAAGAATTATACTAAAATACACTATAAAAAATTGAATTTTTGAGGAGCTATAAAATTAATACAGAAATTCAAGTAGGTAAGTTTTTTTTCAAAATTAATAAGATTCTTCGCAGAAATTCAATAATGTTAAAAAATTTAAAACAAATTATTCATGGCAAAAATTTCAATTATTTTCAAAGATTTTCCTCAATTCAATAATTTTCAATTCCTTAATATTTTAATAAAATTTTCCAAGAGAATTCAATTATTTAAAAAAAAATTATTATAATTCTACGCAAACATTTAATTATTTTCGTAAATAATAAATATTTCACAGGTATTCAATTATTTTCAAATTTTTTATAAATTTCTTCGCAATAATTCAATTATTTACATAAATAATAAAATTTTTACAAGGATTCAATTATTTTCATAAATAATAAAACTCATCGCAAAATTTCAATTATTTTTAATACAATTTTAATCAAATTTCTCGAAAAATAATATTATTCTTAAAATTTTTATTAAAATTCGTCAACAATATTCAATTATTTCTAGAGACTGTAAAAAAAATTCTTCTCAGAAATTTAATTATTTCCATAAATAGCAAAATTCTTCAGATTTACTAAATTCTTTTGAATATTATGTTTAAAAAAAATTCTTCACAAGAATTCAATTATTTTCATAAATTTTCATAAAATTCTATTAAACAATTTAATTATTTTCAAAAGTAATACAATTCTTCGCAGAAATTCAATTATGTTTAAAAGTTTTTTTAGATTCTCCTGAAAATTTCAATTATCTTTATAAATAATTAAATTGTTCTCTACAATTCATTTATTTTCAAAATTTTTAATAAAATTCTACGCAAACATTTAATTATTTTCATAAATTATAACATTCTTTGGAAGGATTCAATTACTTTTATACATAGTAAAATTCTTTGCAGAAATTCAATTATAATACATTTTAATAAAATTGAATTAATCAAATTTTGAATTATAATTATGTACAGTCAAGATTATTTTAAAAAATTGAAAAAATTCTTTGTTTCATTCAATTATTTTCCAAAATTTTAATTAAAATTATTAAAAAAAAATATTATTTTCAAAAAATTTAAAGAAACTTGTCAAAAGAATTTAAATATTCATAGAAAACTCTAATAAAAAAAATTGGAAGCCATTTGTAGATTTATTTATGTTTGAAATCAAATAAATTTAAATTTGATGAGAAAAAAAACCGGGAAAAATTAGGACAAAGCCGGGGAAAAAACCGGAATTTTGTTGAACGAAAATAGTAAACACCCTGAATTATACATTAAAAAAAAAAAAAAAAAAAAAAAAATTGAAAATTGGAATCTAAAATATTGTAATTTCTATTTTGAACTACTTTGACCCAATTTTTGTAAAAAGGAAATGAAATGAATAATTTTGTAACTTTTCAGAAGTTCTCCGTCACATCCTAGTATGATGGGCGGCCCAATGGTACCACGAGGACCTGGTCAAGGACCTCGTGGTACTGGAACGGGTATGCGAGGACCTATGGGACGTGGCGACTATGGTAAGTTTTTCACATCAGTCTTACTATGTAAATCAAAAATAATCGTGCGAAAAGCTAACCAGATTTTTTCAACTTATATAATCCCCTGATTATAAATCAAATGCCATTCAAAATTGTCAAATTTCAACTTTTTATCATTTTTGGATAGAGCATCCAACCAAGTCTATTTTTATTTTTCTTCAATTTTCATAAAAATTGCATCGAAATATTATAATTCTGAATTTTCTAATTTAAAAATTAAAACTATTTTTCAAAAAATACATTTTTCAGACTCAATAAAATACAAAAATGTTGATTTTAATATTTATTATGCAATCAGAGGATTATATGAACGTTTTTAATTAATTTTGATTTAAACAGTTATGCTTTTTATGTCCCATTTTGATTTTAATTATTAATGTGTTTATTTTAATTACATATTTATTTATTTTACAAATTTCAATATTTATTTTTTTAAATTTCATGTGACAAAAGCCTGACTAGATTATTAAAAGTTTTTTCTGTAAAAAAAATACAAATTTTTCAAACAATTTTAAAATTCAAATACATTTAAGAGATATAATTAAAGTTCAAATTTGAAAAAAGAGCAGAAAAATGAAATAAATGAAAAGTTGGAAATATTAAAAGTTGAGATCAAAATTTTACTATAGTGTGATACTTTTTCATAAATCATAACGAATTTAATATATGAAAGACAAATTATGGTTTCGAAAAAAAAAATAATAATGATGATGATTGAAGCTTTTTTCTAAATTATTTCTGTGATTTCAGACGAACTGCAATTAGAAATACTTTATAAGAAAAACTTTAGGTGAAATTGACATAACACAAACGTCCCGCATGCTTATGGGAATTTTTTCACTATCTCACTACATACCTTAGCTTACGCGCATGATAGAAAAAACTTTTGACAAGAGTGAAGAATTTTTAACATATTTTTTTCTTTTTAACAAACGAGTGAGATAAAAAATCCTCTTTCTTATCGATCCACAATCCCGTTGTTTCCTAATTTCATTCTCTTTATTGTTCAATTTTTATTTTCAATAATAATTAAAATTTGTTATAGCAAAGTAAATAAATATTTTTATGAAAACTTGTTTTTAATTCCCTTTTGTTGTTATTATTTGAAAAAAGGTTGTAGTGAGAGAGTGCTCATAATTTATTAATTCAAATGAGCAATAGAGTCGAAATTTACTATTTCTTTGATGTTTATGGAAACAACTAGAGTCAATAGTTTTGCTTTAAAATATAATGAATTTATTTCTAAATGAATGAATTAATTTGGCATTAATTTAAGAAATATGTTGTTCTATTGGAATATAATGAATTAATTAAAGAATGCAATAAATAACAAAAGCCAGTAATGTTTCCAAATAACACTGCAAGTATATAATCATCAGGCGCACCTTTTTATTACCTTACCACTACCACTTCCTGTTTCATCTGTTTTTTCTGTTTGTCACAAAATTGTTGCATGTGTATTGTTTGTTGTTTTGATTGTACTCATTTTTATTTATTTTTTTGGTGTCCGAGCGGTTATTATTTATTTCAAGTGGCAGTATTTATTATTTGTGCACATTTTTTTTCAATCAGGGAGAGTTGTATCTTTTTTTCCAATTTTTGTTAATGTGAGCGTGTTTATGAATTAAATATATATTTCCAAAAATCGGCATGTAATATCAATAAAATGTTTGTTTGCAGCTCTCAAGGAAATAGGTAAGCCGCGACAATTATAATTGCGTCACTTTAAATTACTTATTTTGGTAGTTTACCCTTTTTTTAGTTGAAAACTCTCAGCACTCCCTTTCAAAAATGTACACTGTATGGAATTGTGGAAAACTTTATTTTAATCATTCGAAAAAGGAAACAAATTTTATGTTTAGCTCTATTTTTTATTTCTTTCGTGTAAATTTTTTAGCGTTTAAGACAATGTTATTAGGGCTCAAACTAAGTTCGTAAATTTACTTCAAGTCCGTAAAAGTCAGTTTTTTTGAAAAAAGGCCATAAAGTTCGTAATTTGATTGAAAAAGAACGAAAAGTTCGTAAATTGTACGAAATAATTTGCAGAATTTTAGAGAAATTATAAATGATTGCAGAAATTCTTCGCAGAAAAATAAAATAATAAATATTTATAAAATCCTTCGCAGAAATTCAATTCTGTTCAGAAATTTTTAAAACTTCTCGTTAAAAGTTCAATTATCTCTAAACATAATAAAATTATTTTCGGAAATTCAATTATTTTCAAAAATTTTAATAAAATTTCCCAAAAGAATTCAATTATTTAAAAAAAATTATATGAAAAAAATAAAATTAAAAAAAAATTTAAAAAAAAAATTTTTTTTAAACAAATTTTTTCTTAAATTTATAAAATTATAAAATTATAAAATTTTACGTAAAAATTGAATTATTTTCATAAAATAATAAAAATACCACAGGAATAATTCAATAATTTAATAATTCAATTATTTAAAATAAATTCAATTATTTTCGTAAATCATAAAATTCTTTTTAGCAATTCAATTATTTTTATAAATAATAAAAATCATCGTAGTATTTAAATTATTTTTAATACAATTTTAATCAAAATCCTCGAAAAATGTAATTATTCTTAAAAATTTTAATAAAATTCGTCGAAGGAATTCACTTATTTAAAAATTTGTTGATAGAATACTTTATAAGAATTGAATTTTAAGAAACATTCAATTATTCAATGAATTATTTATTTTTGACTTTAAATTATTGAATTCTCGTAGAATTTTTTAATAAAAATTAATTCAAAAACGAATTTTAGTTCAGATTTTACATAATAATTAAATATTAAGAGCATTTTATCATAAATTTTTAAAAATAATTGAATTTTGTAAAGATTTTATCTTCAAAATTGGCAGAATTTTAATTTTTTTTCAAAAATGTTATCCAATTAAATGATTTTTAATATAATTATTTTAATAAAAATTTCTAAAAGAATTCAATTATATAAAATAAATTCAATTATTTACATCAATAATACAAAATTTCAGAGGAATTGAATTATTATTTACAAATTTAAAAAAAAAATTTTTTGCTGTTATTTAATTAATTTCATAAATAATACAATTTTTACAGGGATTCAGTTTTTTCGTAAATAATGAAATTCTTTTTAGAAATTGAATTATTTTCATAAATAATAAAATTCATTGCAGAATTTCAATTATTTTTAATCGAATTTTTCGAAAAATGTAGTAATTATTCTTAAAAATTTTATTAAAATTCGTCGACAGAATATAATTATTTAAAAATTTGTTGATAAAATTCTTTATGATAATTCAATTTTCAGAAACATTCAATTATTCAAAAAGGTATTTATTTTTGTATTTAAATAATTGAAATCTTGTAGAATTTTCCAATAAAAATTGATTTGAAAATGAATATTAGTTAAAATTTTTACATAATAATTGAATATTGAAAGCATTAAATTAAAGCGTGAATTTTAAGAAATAATTGAATTTTGAAAAGGTTTCAAATTAAAATCTTTGAAAATATGAATTTTTCATATTTTTAACAAACAATTCTGTAGAAGAATTAATTTTGTTGAAAAAAGTTTATTAGAATTTTATTTGAAATTATTTTTTTTGAAGTTTTTATTTTCTAATTACATATATTTAAGTGAAAAATTTCCAAATAATTGAAATTTTGTAAAATTAAATTGTAAACAAATGAATTTGAAAATCCTCAAAGAACTTTTTTAAAAATTATTAAAAATAATGGATTTATAAAAGAATTTTAGTTAAAAACAGTAAAAACAACATTTAATTTTAGAGAAGTGAAAAGAATTCATTTATTTAAAAATTTATTTGATAAAATTCTTTAGGAGCATTCAATATTTTAAGATTCATTCAATAAATGATTTCTTTTTGTATTTAAATAATTGAATTTTCGTAGAATTTGCTAATAAAAATTTATTTAAAAATTAATTTCAGTTTAAATTTTTACATAATAATTGAATATTAAGAGCATTTTACCAAGAATTTTTAGAAATAATCGAATTTTGAAAAGGTTTTATTTTAAAAATTGGCAAAATTTTAATTATTTTCAAAAATTTTCTTCAATTCAATGATTTTCAATATTTACTATTTTAATAGAATTTTCTAATAGAATTCAATTTAAATCAAATTTTAATAAAATAATTCTAATTATTTTCATTAATAATACAAATTTCACATGAATTTCAATTATTTTTAAGTACAATAAATTTTATTCGAATTTCTCTAAATATGTAATTATTCTTACAAATTTTATTGAAATTTCTCTAAAGGATTCAATTTATTATTTAATAAATTTGTTGATAAAACTCTTTATGAGAATTGAATTTTAAGAAACATTCAATTATTCAATAAATTATTTATTTGCATTTTATTTGTATTTAAATAATTGAATTCTAGTACAATTTTTTAATTAAAAATTGATTTAAAAATGAATTTCAGTTTAAATTTTAGATAATAATAATTGAATATTAAAAGCAATATAGCGTGAATTTTGAGAAATAATTGAATTTTGAAATTAATTTTTTTGAAAAAGTTTAATTGAATTTTTGTTGGAAATTGTTTGAAGTTTTTATTATTATTAAAAATAATTGATTTAAAGAATAAATTTAGTTGAAAATTCTTGAAAATAATAATTGAATTGAAGTGATGAAAATAATTTTGGAGTAATTGGTCCGTAATTTTTCATTTTCGGCCCGTAAAGTCCGTATTTTTAAACAATACTTGAACTGGTTCGAGCCCCGATAATGTATTTTTGTTATTTTAGAGAACTTTAAAGTAAGGCTATTTTTTTCTCTCTCTAAGTTTGGAGTAGTTAAAAATAACTAGAAATAAGGTCCTTGAAGTTGGCGTTGAAAATGAACCTCTTTGAAAAAAATGGTTCAGTTGCGATGAGAAAACAAATTTTTTTGCACTTACCATCGACGCCAACTTCAGAGACAAAAGAATAGTTCCGACTAATTCAAATTTAGAGAGTTTATTGTAGGAAACAAATGTGCAATCCTAGAGTTAATTTTTTTTGAAAAATGAATACGAATTTCGTGCATAAGATTTGAATATAAAAAGAAAGAGAGAAGGTAATTTTTCGCAGTCCATGCAGAGTTCATTTTCTATGAAACGTGATGGTGGTAGGGTAATCTTTGCGAATTTTTGTTGGATCTATTTTTTATTTCTATAAAATAACGAGTTGAAGTTGATTTTTCAAATGGAAAGAAAATCGCGATGTCTTGCAATGTTTTTTAAGTTTAAAGAAGAATTTTTCTTGAGTTTATTTATTGGAATTTAAGTTTAAACAAAAGAAGAGAAGAGAAGAAAGTCGATTTCAAAATTTTGTTCTCTTTTCCCGGCATGCCTTTTTTATTTTTTCTCTAAAATTAATGATTATTTCAGTAAGTTTCCAATTGGACATATTGTGGCTAAATTTGGGTCTATTTGTAATGTGTGTTTTTATAGATTATGATTACGACTATTACGGTTATGGGGATTATCGAGGTGGCTACAGTGATCCATATTACGATGACTATTATCGATACGAAGATTACTATTTCGATTACGCGCCGCCTCCGCCACCTGCCAGAGGGAGAGGCAGGCAGCCTCAACCGGTGGGTCGCCTTTTTTAATGGTTTTAAAAAGTCGTTTTCGTTCTTTCAAACGTATATTACTTTTTTTAAAAATTAGCAGTAGTTTGATTGTGGCACAGTGTTCGCGGACTCCCTTTTGTCGAAAACTGAGAAAGAAACAAAGTTCTAATGTTAATAGACTCATACTGCCATGCCTCCACATGTCCTTTGACACTAAAAGTACACTAAAAAATTAATTGAGCCTGTGCGTGTCATTAACTTCTTTGGCTAATTGTTTTGTGCCAGCTTGGATTAATCGCTATTAATCAACGCAGGGATGCAAGGTTACTCGCACTAATCACTTTTTTTTAATTGCACTGCATCCGCGGCACAGAAATCAATAAATGTCACTGTCTGGGATTTGCAGATCTTTCCTAGGAGACGTCTGTCGTCGAGGAAACTGGAGTATCAAACTTCAACACTTTTACATTTACTTTTACCCTTTTACAATTCATTCACATTCCCAACTTTTCTCATTGCGATTTACAAAATTGTTTTAAAAAATCTTTTTTTTTCTTTTTTTTTAATCTTTTTTTATCTTTTTTTAAAATTTTAACTATAAAAGAAGGTTATATTTTTTTCTTGCACCATTTTTAACCCAAAAATATATAGGATGGTAAAAAATTTGAAAATTCAATTTTTAAAGAGGTTAAAATTATAAAAAATAAAATGAAAAAAAAATTTTTAATAAAAAAATTATAATTAATATTTTTGCAAATCCATGCGAGAGGTTACTTAAAATTATAAAACAAGTTTAGAAAAAAATTTTCGTTAAAAATTTGAAAAAATAAAATAAATAAATGAAATAAATATTGAATAAAATATATATATATATTGAATAAATATTGAAAATTGTAAAAAAAGATTAATTTTGAATGTTCAAATTTCTAAATTTTTGACATTTTTTCAAAGTTCAATAATTTTTGATTATTGATTCAATTTTTTTTAACGAAAATTTTTTTCTAAGCTTATTTTATAATTTAAAGTAACCCCTCGCATGAATTTGCAAAAATATGCAACGAGTTAAAAGATAAAAATACAATTTTCAAATTTTTTTTGCATCCTTTATATTTTTGGGTTAAAAATGGTGCAAGAAAAAAAATATAACCTTCTCTAATCAAAATTTAAAGGGGTCAATTATTAAATTACTTATTTTCTGTTAATTTTCCATATTTTGTTAATTCGTGTTTTAATTTATTAAAATTTTAATCAACCTGTATAATCCGCTTAAATTTTTTAAAACACATCTTAATCTAATTCTTCCGAAATTTTAAACGATTTAAATTTTACATATTTTTTTATAATATTAATAACTCGTTTCAAAATTTTTAAAACATGTCTCAATTTAATTTTTCCTAATTTGAATAAAATTTTAAAATATTTTTGTAAAAGTAAAAACATTTATGAAAATCTATAGTTGACAACAAAATAAAGAAACACTTTTAACCACATTTTCAAAATTAAAAATTTTTACAATTTTTGTTTTTCAATAAATAATTTTTACATCATTTTAAAAAGAAATTAATAACTTAAAATTATTTCTTTATAAATGAATGGGGATTTTTTGATAGTTAATTATTGTGCAATTTTAAATAAAAAGAATTGTAAAACAAATTTTGTATTTTTACAGGGTTGCCACAAGTCAGAGAATTCAGGGGAAAGTCAGGGATTTTTATTAAAAGTACTGGAAAAAATTCAATTTTTAGAATTCATAAGAAAATTATAAATTTGGGTATTTTTTTTTTTGTTTGACTCATAAACTATGAAATTACCACGAAACCGTCAATTTTTTCTATTTCTGACAATAATTTTTAAATAAATAACTTGATTCATAAATTGATGAACTTCAAAAGGTGTCAATTTGAAATTTTATAAAACTTCAATTTTTAATTAATTTAATTAGAAATTTTAAAAGAAACTTAGATTTTTGAACAATTGTAATATTTCTAAATCTTCTGAAATTAGTTACATTTTTTAATATATTTCTAATTATGAATTAAAAATAATGGATGTATAGAAGAATTTTAGTTAAAAACACTAAAAAAATTTGCATTTTGGAGAAGTTAGAAATGACTGCAGAAATTCAATTATTTTCAAAAATTAAAAAAAAATTCTATTTAAAATTTCAATTATCTTTATGAATAATAAAATTCTTCTTTGAATTTCAATTGTTTAAAAAAAATTAAATAACATTCTCGTCCAAATTTGCAATTATTTTTAAAAATTTTCCTCAATTCAATGATTTTCAATATCTACTATTTTAACAACATTTTTCCAAAGATTATTTGAAACAAATTTTAATAAAATTCTACGAAAACATTTAATTATTTTCATAAATAATAAAAATTCACAAGAATTCAATTATTTACAAATTTGATTTTTATAAATTTCTTTGTAATAATTCCATTATTTTCAATCTTTATAAAAATTCAATTATTTTTAATACAATTTTAATAGAATTTCTCAAAAGAAATGATTTTCAACAAAATTTCCATAAAATTCTATTTAAAAATTAAATTATTTCAAATTCAAAATTATAAAAAGTTAGAAAAATCACAAAAAGTAACATAAAATTTAATATAAAAGTTATCAAAAATTTTATTTTTTAAAATTGAAAAATATTCACATATTAATACGCAAAATTGTGGAAAATAAATTGATTTTTTTTACTTCTATATTTGAATTCTTAAAAATTTTCAACTAATTAGAACAAAAGTGATATGAATTTTCTGAAAATTAATTTTTTAATTTCTACAGAAGACAAGTCAATGATATAAATAAATTTTCTTAAAAAATAAATTTTTTAAATACCGTAGTTTGCATTAATATTAATTAGTTTTTCTATAATAATTTATAACTAACTTTTATTATATTTTGAAATCTTACATTAATATCACTCATATAGATTAAATTTCAATAAGTTTCAAATTGACGTTTTAGAAAGGTTGAATTTTAATTAAAAACTTTTAATTAAAAGTTTTAAAGAAGTTATTTTTTTGAAACATTTATTTTCGAATTTTTTAAATTACTTGAATTTGTGAATACATACTTAATTGAAAATTTTTTGAATAATTGAAATTTCATTAAAATGAATTGAAAGCAAGTGGATTTCAAAAATTATTTTAGTTAAAATTTTTTTTATTTTAATAAGTAATTGAAATTTTAAGAATCTTTTTCAAAAATCATTAAAAATAATTGAATTATAGAAGAATTTCAGTTAAAAATTCTTGAAAAAAATTGAATTGAAATCTTGAAAATAATTTTTGATAAGTTACAATAGAAATTCTTAAATATTGATTTAGAAATTTGAAATTTTGAAAAATCCTAATTCCTAAGGAAAAGTAATAATAATAATTAAATATTTATTTAGAAAAAAGCTGTTGATGTTCCGAATTTTTAGAGTAAATTAAAATATTCTTTAGAGTCAGGGAAAAAGTTAAAGTTATGTCTAGAAATCAGGGAAAAATAAAATCTAATTTTTGTGGCAACCCTTTCAAATATTTTCAATCAACAATAATTTTTAAAAATTTTTAAATAATTTACATTTGTGACGCTCTTTAAAGAAAGGTACCTAAGAAGCAAAAAATTGTAGGTTATGTTTGTAATTTTTTGAATGAAAATATACAAATGCGACGAACTCTTAATATAAACCACTGATGTTTAAATCTTCGTTACACTGAAAATAATTTAAGAATTCTGATTTTATTTTTAGACAATTAAACAAAAGCTTTTAATTAAGAAATAATTTACACTAACATAACCTTAAAATGATTTGCTTCTTTCGTACCTTTCTTCGTCGCGCGTCATATTTCCTAAATTGTTCAAATTTTTATCGGTTAAAATCTTAGTTGACTTTGAATCTGATTCATCAAAATTTTTAATCTTTGGAATTCGAATTCTAATCGATTTCAAATATTATCGTTTAAAACTTTGATTTTTTTATTTACTTATTTTAGGAACAATTTAACAAACCTTTATAAATTATTTTGTTTTTAATTACCTTCATCATGATTTTTATGAATTATATGTCGTATACCTATTATTCATAAAAATCATATTAAGAAACAAAATTTTTAAAATTGTAATATCAGTTTTTGTAAAGTTGACATATTTAAAAAATTTTGAATATTTAAATGATTATTATTTTTACGGTATAAATATTTTCAAAACGTATTGACTTAAATAGAAATCAAAAACGGTAATTTCTAAAAAAAAATTTTTTTCTTTTGAAATTTTATGAATTGTTTGAATGAATTTTTTAAAAGTTGCATTATTTTTTTTAAATATTGCATTAGATAATGCAATATTTGTAAATATTTAGCACTTTTGACCAATGAGGGAAATTTGTAACTGAAAAAAATGTATTTAAATGGATAAAGTGTGCAATTTAAAGAGGGCTTTTTTACTTTAAAATATAATTTGCTTTGCCCTCGCTGATACTCCATTTTTCTCCGCGTAGTCTTTGTTGTATATAACTTTCCAATCTATGTGAACGTCATACATGCAAATGAGTCCCTTTGATTGGTATGCACTTTCTCTCTCTGTCTCTCTTTTTCTCTTTTATTTAATTTTATTTTTCTCTTCCTCTATCTCCTAAAATTTCAATTTCGCCAGGTAAAATTTTACAGATTTTTGCAATTTAATGGAATGTGTAAAATTTTCCCTACTCACGAAATATCACAAAGTGCATACCAATTTTTGATAAATTCCATAACTTTTGACTAACTTTTCCTAACCCGAACACATTGCCACTTTCAAATTGCTTGTAGATCATATCTGAGCCATAGTAGACCCATTCTAAATTTCAGCCAAAATTCAAGCCGGGAAAAGCAATCAGAGAAACAAAAGGATTCATTATGAAAAATAGATCAAGTCTTGAGTGTCGAGTTTGAAACGGAAAAAAGAAAAAAAATAGTTATGAGAGAGGGAGGGAGAGAGAAAGAGAGGAATCAATGGTATTTTCGACATGTTTCACGAAAGAAAAAAGAATGGACAATTTCAATATTTACAGGATCCCCTAACACACTATCCACGAGAGAGTCTTCATTTTCAGGAGAATCCTAACTTTGCACCAGTGTACAGGATATCGTCTTAATTTTTTGTTTTGTTTCATAAACTTTTTTTTGTTATTTATTATCGGCTCGGATATGATGAGAATTGTCAAGTTTGGGCACAACGACGTTTCTTTTTTTTCATTCAATCAATTTTTCTCAAATGTGGCCCTGTTTCTTACAATTTTTTCAATAACTTGACGAGAACAAAGTCTCTAGACACTACGAATACTTTTTTCCTTTATTGTCTCGTGAAAAATAACAATTTTCTCTTGTTTAAAATAAGTGTTGATGAAAAAAAAAAAAAAAAAAAAAAAGATTCCAAAAAACGAGATTTCTCTTTCTCTAATTGATAGATAAGATTTTAATAAAGAGTTTCTTGCAGGATGGAAATTGTGTAAAACTTCCGTGCATTTTAATATCGTCTTAAATCAAGAAGTGACCAAAAGTGAGCAAAAAAAGTCAAGAACAAAACGAAAAAAAATATTAGTTTCCCAATTATACGAGGGTGTCGAAAATTGAAATCATGGCCGATGCAGATAACTGTCATAAGTAACGTGCTTAGTACTATGTGAATTGCGTGCAGGTGTGACTTTTAATGGATAGAAAAGGGGATGAGATGAAAGATACATTACACTACGATTTCAGCTGATGCGGCATCAGTGACACGTCTCACAGCTCACAGCTACTGCTTTTCGCTTCGGCAATATTTATTACTCGCTTATGCTTTCAATACGAAATTGCTTCTTTTTTTTGACAATTGCTGCTAAAAAAATATGCTTTCGCTTATAATATTCCCCGATTGTTTGGGGCGCTTTATTTATTCCATGAATTTGTCTACAATTTATGAAAGACAACATTCTATATGTCACCAGTTTTCTTTAACCGAATTTTAACCGATTTTTGACCGAATTTACTGTAATTTTCATTTAAATCAATTTTTGACCGAATTTTAACCGAAATTACTGTAATTTTCGTTTAAACCAATTTTTAACCGAATTTACTTTAATTTTCGTTTAAACAATTTTTTGATCGAATTTTAACCGAATTTACTGTTATTTTCATTTAAAACAATTTTTGACCGAATTTACTGTAATTTTCATTTAAAATAATTGTTGACCGAATTTACGGTAATTTTCATTTAAACAAATTTTTATAATACATTTTTTCATAATCAAATTTTTATTTAACATAATTTACATTTTGACGTATTTTAATTTACCGGAATTTTCATTTGGTAGAATTTTTATTAAATACAATGTGACAAAAAAATTAGAAATAATTCTTTTTTCTAAGCCGAATTTTTGTTCCTCCGAAATTTATTTAACAGAAATATTTGAGCAATTCTGTAGTTTATATAAATTTCACTTTACTAGAATTTAATTGTGACGCGTTCTGAAGAAAGGTACCTTAAAAAAATTGTAGGCTATGTTTGTAATTTTTGGAATTTAAATACAAAAGGCGATCAATTCTTCTTTAAAATCACTTGTGTTTATAAATTACATCTAAAATTGTAAATAAAAACTGATTTCATTTTTAGAGAGAAGTCATCAATGGTCAGAAAATATTCTGACTCTTTTTGGATTTTTATTTTTCTTAAAAATTTATAGATTTTAAAATCCATTCGTAATTTTGTAGAAAATATGTTTTTGTATTCATTAAAAAATTTCCGAATGAGGAAAATTATTTTTACTATTTTTAAAGCATTTTTTTTTAAACATTGTTTTTAGGTTGAAAATGCTAAAAAAACCGTTGTTATTCAATTTTTTTATAACCGTAAATTCACTCGTTTATTTTTCTATCTAATTTTAAATCATAATTTTTTTAAATAAAAAGTATAAAATACAAAAATTGATAATTTTTTTAAATAAAAAGTATAAAATACAAAAATTGATAATTTTTTTAAATAAAAAGTATAAAATACAAAAAAATGTTGATAATTTTTTTAAATAAAAAGTATAAAATACAAAAAAATGTTGATAATTTTTTTAAATAAAAAGTATAAAATACAAAAAAATATTGTTTTAAATTAGTTTGAAAAATATACAAGTGAAAAAAAAAATAAAAAAATTGAATAACATTAGTTTTTTCAGCATTCAACCTAAAAACGTTTTTTTTCAAAAAAATGCTTCAAAAATAATAAGAATAATTTTTTTCATTCGGAAATTTTTTAGTGAATGCTAAAACATATTTTCTACAAAATTGCGGATGGATTTTAAAAACTATCAATTTTTCAGAAAAATAAACATCTAAAAAGGGTCAGAATATTTTTTGACCGATTTTATTTTCTGACAATTGATTTTCTCTTTAAAAATTTTTATAAAAATAATTTTATAGAAGATTTAAATCGTTTTCTTGATATAGTGAAAAATGTAGTCGAGAAGTCTCCTCTTAAACCGATTTCTGTTTTACACCAATAAACTGAAACTTTTCGTAAAGATAAAAATAAAATAAACATAACCTTAAAATGTTTAGCTTCTTAGGTATTTTTCTTCGGAGCGCACGCGTCACAATTGGACGTATTTCCTAATTCTATTTTCAGAATTTTTATATGCTACAAATTTCATTTAATAGAATTTTTATTTGACCGAATTGTGACCGAATTTGACGAATATGGGGTAAATTTCCACTTTACTGACATCTGAAACTTAGGAAAGTATATTTGACAGAAATTTTGTTTCTACGTCAAAATTCCATTATTGAGACTAAATTTCTGTTAAAAATACTTTTCTAAGTTTGAGATGTCGGTAAAGGGGAAATTTGCCCATTTTCGTTAAATTCGGCCATAATTCGGTCAAATGAAAATTCTATTAAATGGAATTTCTAGCTTTATGAACATTCTACTAAATAGAAATTCTGCCTAATTGAATTTCGTTCAAGTGGAATTTCCATAATGTAGAAAATTACTCAAATGCGGAATTTATGTGAAATAATATTTCAGAGAAATAAAAATTCGGCTAAGAATTCTTTCTAATTTTTGTGTTTATTGAAAATTTAGATAAAAATTATTTCCAATTTTTGGCAATTTATGTCAAATAATATTTCAGAGAAATAAAAATTCGGCAAAGAATTCTTTCTAATTTTTATGTTTATTGAAAATTCGGCTAATAATTCTTTTTAATTCTTGTGTCTATCGAAAATTCGTCTAAAAGTTCTAACAAAATGAAAATTTCGATAAATTAAAATAATAATAATTCATTTAATTTAATTATTAGTAATTAATTATTTAATTATATAATTAAAAAAATACAGTAATCACAGTGAATTCGGTTAAAATTCGGTCAAGAATCGGTTAAGATATTCGATTAAAGAAAACTTGTGATAAATGTCTTTAAAAAAAATCGTAAACAAATTGCTTTATGGAATAATAAGGCGCGGCCCGATTGTTTTTTATGGCCAGTGCATTTTTAGGTTTTTTTTGTCGCTTACGAATATTTTTTTGCCCAAAACATTATTGTTTTTACGAATTATTCGCTTTTCCACACATACTTTCCTTCATTATGGATTATAATAATCTCTGCTAATTCTGCTGCTGTATTTGATTAGTAAAATTTGGCTCTAGGCAAATTTTCCCCCTCTTTTTTCAACACACAAATATTTCTACCTCTAATATTTTTTCTTGACCATCTTTCGCAAAAAAAATATCGTTTCACTCTTTCCAAAACGGGCCGATTATATTGCTGATCGGCCTAACAGACGTTACCCCTCTGTCTTTCAACATATATTATATATATTATGTCACAGGGTTACCACTGCATTTAGAAATGCCATTAATTTTACACGTACTCTCTGAATTTTAGAAGTCGTTAATTTGAGAAGCTCGCTGCTTGAATCGAAGACTCGGAATTCGGAGAGTATCGATATGCGTATATATACATAAAAACGTTTTTCAGAATTTTTAATAATGTTGAGATTAATTAATGCAAATATTTGCCATGTTGAAAGTTATGTATGTATATGCATAGATATTTGTAACCATGATGCAAGTGGAGAGCACAATTAAATAGAGATTGATTTAATAAAAAAAAAAAAAAAAAAAAAAAAAATTGTCTTTTAGCTGTAAATTATTATAAATTTTGGATTATTATGAAGCACATGGGGTAACGATTGGGTGTGTGTTGTTTGGTCAGGCTGGTCGTGGGCGTGGAGTGGTGGCGCGTGGCCGGGTCGGTGGCCCCCAAGCCCGTTTACCAGCCAGGCGGGGACACAACCCCGTAACCTCAGGGGCCCGTGGGGCCCTGCGGCCAACCGTTCGTGGGGGGGTCCGCGCCAAGGGAAGTTTACCAGGTGAGGATGGTCTGTATCTCCACAACGAATCATCTTTTTATCTTATTTACTTATCTACTATTTATGAAAATTATTATCAAAAACAAAATTATCAGAACAAAATTCGTCTAACTTAGTCTACATAATCGCACCTTAACTTTTTCTTGAACACTTACATGGCTAGTCGCACCTGCCTTTTGGAGAGAGCTTGTATGAAATGTATATAAAAGAAAGGGTGTCTCCGTTCGAGAACAACTCACTAAAATTGCAAACATAACCTCAAACGATATGCATGAATATTTAGAATTTTCATTTACAATCGATTTTCAATTTTATTACAATTTCATTGCGAAATTAAAAATAACCATCAATCACATCCCCCACAATACCAAAAATTTCATCAATATTGCGAACGTTGCTGAAATATTACAATATTTCAGTAACGTTCGCAATATTGATGAAAATTTTTGTGCTGTGGGGGATTTTTCTTTATATTTTAATATTAAAAAAAAAAAAAAAAAAAAAAAAAAAAAAAAATGCAATTTATACATAAGAGAGAAAAGAATAGAAATATCTTTCGACTTTTTCTAGAAAAAGGCAAACGATATTTCCATCCTCTTCTCTCTCGTGTATAAATTTCGATATGCGATTTAAAGGTTTCATTCTGTCAATGCCTGCTTTTTATTCGCAGACAGAAAAGTGTAATTTTTATTCAACTGCTACATTTCTTTAAAATATTATATAGACTTTTCTTGAAAACGAATATAAAATTAAATTTTGTTTTTTTAAAAAAATGAATGAATGAAAATTCTAAACAATGAATTTTATGCTCCAGTTTGAAAAAATCAGACTAAAATGCGCAAAATCTAAACATAACATAGATTTATTTAATAATTTTTAAACAAAATTTAATCAAAGAAAGTCCAACGAACAGAATTATAGAGAGTTTTTCAAAGATCGAAATGAGCCATGTTTGTAAATTTTGACGCGCTCCCAAGAAAGAAAGAAAAAAAAAATTAAGTTATGTTTATAATTTTTAGACTGAAAATATAGAATGAAAATCAATTAATATAGCAAATTATTGATGTTCATGTCTTCATTACATCAGAAATATTCAATAAAAACCGAGTTTCAATTTAAAAAATTAAAAATTAACTTTTAATAAACATAAATCTGACACAAACATAACCTATAATTCATTTGCTTTTTAAGTAGTTATCTTGAAAGCGCTCGAGCCACAATTGTCAACTAAGATTAAAAAAGAAATACAAAATGACGAATAATTATTTTTATTTCATAACAAATTTTAGATGTAAACCATTTTTTTCTAAATATTGTAGAATTGAATTTTTCAAAAGTTTGCAAAATTAATTTTAATTGTAGTTTTATTTGAATTCAGGGTTGCCACTAAAATTTAATTTTGTTGTTCCCTCACTTTTCCTTGATTTTCATACAAAATTTTGAACTTTTCTTTGAACAAAATAAAATAATTAAAAATGACCGAGAGATAAAATCAATATTTTATATTATTATAAGAATATTGTTACTGTAAGTTTTTCAAAATTATTTTCAACATTTTAATTCAATTATTATTTTCCAGAATTTTTAACTAAAATTCTTCTTTATAAAGTGCAAATTAATTATTATTAATAATTTTTGAAAAAGTTCTTTGAGAATTTTTGAATCTATTTGTTGCAATTCAATTTTATGAAATTTCGATTATTATTCGAAAAAAATTAAATTTTTTAAAAAATTAAATTTTAAATTCAATTATTTCTACAAATTCACTCTATTGATTTTAATATTCAATTATAATCTAAAATTTTAACTGAAATTCATTTTTATGAAATGAAAATCAATTTTTATTAGAATATTCTACTAGAATTCAACTATTTAAATACAAATAAAATGCAAATAAATAATTTATTAAATAATTAAATGTTTCTTAAAATTTTGCATTGAGTTTTATTATTTTTAAAAATAATTGAATTCCTAAACAGAATTTTATTATTTAGTAAAATAATTGAATCCCTGTAAAAAAATTTTATTATTTATGAAAATAATTGAATTTCTGCAATAATTTGTAACTTCTCCAAAATTCAATTTTTTTAAAGTGTTTTAATTCATTATTTTTAATAATTTTTGAAAAACTTCTTTGAGAATTTTCAAATTCATTTGTTTACTTCAATTTGTTTACTATTCAATTTTACAAAATTTCAATTATTCGGAAATTCTTTAATTAAAAATGTATATTAGAAAATAAAAACTTGAAATAATTTTTAAAGAAATAATTCAATTTAACTTTTTCAATAGAATTAATCCTACAAAATTGTTAGTTAAAAGTATGAAAATTTCAAATTTTAAAAAATTGTAATTTAAAACCTTTTCAAATTTCAATTACTTTTAAAAGTTCATGCTATAATTCTTTTCATATACAATTATAATCTAAAATTTAACTGAAATTAATATTTAAATCAATATTTTTATCAGAAAAGTTTTCTGAAAATTCAATTATTTTAATACAAAAATAAAGAACTTATTGAATAATTGATTTTTTTTATAAAGTATTATATTAAAATAATAAAAAATAATTGAATTCTTTTAAAGAATTTTAATTCCATTTTTAAAAATTTTTTGCATTTTAGAGAAATTTACTTAAAATTGTTTATAAATAAATGAAGTCCTGCAAGGAATTGCATTATTTATAAAAATAATTGAATTCTTGCAACGATTCTTATGAATTTAAAAAAAAAATTAAATTCCAGTAAAGTATTTTATTATTTGCGAAAATAATTGAATGCTTACAAAGAATTTTATTAGAAATTTTTAAGAATAATTACATTTTTCGAGGAATTTGAATAAAATTTTATTAAAAATAATTGGAATTCTACGATGATTTTTATTATTTATGAAAATAATTGAATTATTGACTATGAAATTAATAATTGAATTTCTTTGAAATTCTTATTATTTATTAAAATAATTAAATGTTTGCGTGGTTTGCGTAGAATTTTATTACAATTTTATTTAAATAATTGAATTTTTTTTTGAAAATTTTTATTAAAATTTTAGATGTTAAAAATCATTTGAGTATAATTTTTGAAAATAATTGAATTTCTGCAATCATTTGTAATAAATCCATTATTTTTAATAATTAATAAAATGCATATTAAAAAATTAAGCTTATTTTAGAAGAACTTGTATTGTAAAAATTTTTCAAAAATTTAAGTTCTGTAAAATTTCTATTCAAATTCATTCGAAATACATTTATAAAATTAAAACCTTTTAAAGTTTATCTACTTATAAAAATTGTAAACGCAACCTTTTTTTTAAAAAAATTCAATTAATTTTGAAATAATTAAGTAAATTTATTCATTAAATAATTTCTATGTAATAATTTTATGATATATTTTTTGAAGAATTAAGATTATTTAAAAAGAAATTATTGTCAGTAATAGAAAAAATTGATCGTTTTTTATTAGAATTCATGGTAATTTCTTAGTTTAGACAATTAAAAAAGACACTAAAATTGAGAATTTTATTATGAATTCTAAAAATTGAATTTTTTCCAACACTTTTAATGAGAATCCCTGACTTCTTCCTGATTTTCCTAACAAGTGGCAACCCTGTCGATGTTCAAAAGCACTTTATAGTTTGAGGTTATGTGAATGGGATTGAACATCATTAAGGAGTGTAATTGTTTTCATTAAGTTTTATGAACCGAATGTTTACAACTTGATCGGAAGCACCTTTTAAAAGTATATGTTCACGTATATTTGTTACAAGCTCATAGAATTATTTGCACGATTTTGACAAGCTTTTTTCGTTTTTGAATTGACGACAAGAGCCGAGAGCTTGTAACAGATATAAAACATGAATGTAGGTACGTTATGTATATTTTTATAATAAACCTACACATATACTGTAATACATATCTTGCTGAGCGAGCTTGCTTTCAATTGTTTTCATGTTTCTTTTCGCGTTACTTTTTATTAATCAATATATATAATAATATATCGAATGAATGCGAATTTTTTTAACGCAGTTTTAATAAGAATGTCAATCGTTAACAAAATGTGTGAACAGCAGTGCACTCACTCTAATTATTTGGTTTTTATAGTGTCAAAATTATACTTGAATTTTTTCAATTTCAATTTGGAATTTTACTGCTTTTCAGTGAACGACTTTACTTTCTCTCAAAAACAAAAAAACAAATTAAAAAAAAAAAAAAAAAAAAATTTTTTCTTTCACTTTCTCTTTAAACATACAATCAATAAAATTGAAAATTATTTTTATAAATTACTATTTTTTAGCTATAGTTCCCCTATAGCATCTAAACTTGCAACAACATTGTAATATTGTCAATGTTGTTGCAAGTTTGGATTTAGTCAATCATAAAAAAGTATTTGCTGAATTTTTTTTCTTTTTATTCAAAATTGCTTTAATTCCTGTTTGCAAAATACGAGTTATTTTCCAATTGTAATTTATTAATCAATAGTTTTTTTTTTTTTTTTTTTATTTGAACCAAGATTTGTAGCAGATTTTAATAAAATTTTCTTAAAAGTAAAAAGAAGTAAAATATTTATTTTTTAAGTATTTAAAAGTATTATTTTGTCGAAAAGAAAAGAGAAGAAAAGTTATTTACTGAATCTTAGTAATTATTATGATTTCATTCTGTTTCGAGTGTACAGATTTATTTGACGCTGTATCACTGTTGAAATACATTATTTTTCCAATGAAACAATTATTAAGAGCATATTTCCCAATTTGAATATTGCAAACGAAGAAAAGAAAAAAGACAAAGAAAAGTCAAGCCCTTGAGAAAATACAGTGAAAAATTAAAATGATTTTTTAATCTTTTAAAATGGCTAAAAGCAGTTTGTTAGTATATTTTTGAAAGAAGAAAAATTAAGATTCACCAAGTCTGTAGGATTGCCTTATATCCCTCTCTTTTCCTCCAAGGTATTTGTGACGTATCCAAGCAATACTAATAACATGCGATTAGTAGATTATTTAGATAATGGAGCATA